ATGTTGGCCATCCTAACTGGTGTGAGGTGATATCTCATTGTGGTTTTAATTTGCATTTCCGTGATAATTAGTGATGTGGAGCATCTTTTCATGTGCCAGTTGGCCATCTGAATTTCTTCTTTGGAGAAGTGTCTGTTCATGTCCTTCACCAATTTTATAATCAGGTATTTGCTTTTTGGTTGTTGAGGCATGTGAGTTCTTTATATATTTTGGATATAAACCCTTTGATATGTCATTTACAAATATATTCTCCCATACTGTAGGATGCTTTTTGTTCTGCTGATGGTGTCATTTGCTGTACAGCTTTTATTAGCATTTATTTTTAAAACACAGTTTTCTTATAAACTAGGCTATGAGGTTTCTACTACTTTACTCTCTTATATCACTGCATTACTAATTCTGTATTACTTTAAGGGCAAATATAGGAAAGGCAGAACTCAAGAGGTGTTTATTCATTTAAAAAAATCTTAATGCTTACTTGGTCTTATGTTATGTTTTCTGGAATAAAAAAGATTTTCAAAAATGGTTCAGGTAGTTAATCAAGAAGCGTCCCAAAAAGAGAGATAGGAGAAATGATTTTTTTCAGCTTTGGAACTGCTCAAGGCAATGAGCAGACTTGTGCTGTTCAGCAGTATTGTGCTTTCTCCAGCTTATTCCAGAATGAGGGAGCTTCCCCAATGTAATGGTACACAGAACTCATTTTCTGGCATTTGTACCAAGAAGAAAATCAGTGCTAGGAGTTTTCTGCAACTGAGTTCAAACAGCCTGCTAGTGGCCTACGCAGTCCTAATTTCCATAACCTGCATAACTGAAGATGTTTGTCAGCTGTTTTTATCACCACTTTACCATTGGTCATTTTTGTGTTTTCTTGACTGCAGCCCAATAAGCTTAAGTAGTAGTCACTAGGAACAGGAAAAGGAAATAGAAACTAATTAGCTTGATTTGTGTGCTTATCACTAAAGGTCACTATTTTCCCTTGAACTTTATTTGGTGCTCTCTATGATCTGTAAATCACAGAATAAAATTATCACACCTAAATCTTGTCTGAAGATCTCTGTAATTTTATTGATTCCATCTCCAATAATATATCCTATCTTTTTTAGAATATAATTTCATAACTATTTTTTGTCTGTTGCTTATGGTCTGGATCTTAGAGTAACACGGTCTTCACCCTTTGCTATTAAGGCATGTATATGCGTATGAATCAAATAACCCACATTTTTAAAATACCATGTGGTTTATATATAAAGAGGTATTCATTTGCAATCCTAAAGGTTCCTGTTTTTAGTATTTTAATTAAATAATATTTTATATATTACTATCATCTTTTAACATTTTAAATATACAATGTCATTCTTTTATTCATTTCTACTTGTGGAGTGACTTGGCACTAATTATTTATAATTAAATTCTTTTTCCTTTGCTCTTTTACAGGCTGAAGAAAAGGCTCATTCAGAGGTAAAAGTCTTGTAGCATTTTTAAATTTTACTTGTTTTTGTACTTATGAGGAAATGAATGTTTCTACCACTAGAGGGCTCTGTGATACAGTAGCATATCTCCAGCCTGCTAACAGAAGTGACCCAGCTAGCTAGTTGATAAATGATCTTGAAAATTTCCTCTTAAAGAAAATGAAAGGAAGTTTTTAAAAGCAAACTCTCCTCTCATCTTCTAGATTGTAGTCTTAGCTCAACTTCCAGTAAGCCGTCTCTAGTAGTAAGCACTCACTGATCTTTGATGAGTGAATGCATGTGTGGGCTCTCTATTTTATCAGAGTCTCGTTTCCTCATTGCCTGTGAGACGACCTGCATAAGATTAAGCAAACTACTGACTCTGAGGCACCAGACCTCCACACCATAAGCTCCCAGCATCCCAGCCCGTCTGTTCCATGCCAAGACGGCTGCTTATAAATGTCTAGTGTGGTATTCTGTTTTAATCACACACATTTCACAAATGCTTCATTGCAATCCTGTACAATCAGATTGCATCCTAGAAGGATCATGCTTTTCCTATTCCTTTGTACGAGAGTTGTCCTGGCCAAGAAGAGCAGGACGGCTTCAACCAGGCCTTCATTCAGGACGCAGTGATGGCCGTCTAGCTGGCTTCCGTAGAGGCACCCGCATCCAAGAGGAAATAAATGTCTGCGTGAAGGAACTCTTTTCTTTGAAGACTTATTTTTTTATCCCTTACAAAAAATTTTTTTGCTATGTTTAAAAATACTGAAAAAATATTGATCATAGCAATTTGATCTTTATAATTACTAGACCAAGAAGTGAATATTCTTTATAAAACCTAAACTATTTCTTTTTTTTTACCTTGCATGGAAATGACAGTGCTTCTAACACGGATCATAATAGAGCTCCTGAGGTGTAGAAACGCCACTATCCAACTCTCCTTTTCTTCATTCCTGCCCCATAATGGGTCATAGTTTTTAAAAAGTGATTTACCTTACTTTAAGGTTGCTTGGATTATATTTTAAAGGAAATAGAATCATTGGAATGTAACTCAAATGCTGTTTGGGGCTGGTTATATCTCTTTTTTAAAACACGAGAGGAAAATGGAATCACATTTGCTGAAGTTATATAAATGTGCACTGTCTCTGCTTCCAGCTTAACGTTCATTTCTTTTTTTTAGGATCTCAATACTGACCACCATTTCTTTCCCACAAAAATCTGATGTGTAGAAGGAAAAAAAAAAGACAGTTAATAAGGATGCTAGGAATGCTCTTTCAGAGACAGTATCCCAAAAGTTCAACTATAATAGCAGACTTGTTTTTGAAGAAATGAGGAAAATTAGAGTAGAATGTTTGACATCTGGTAACTAAAATCCCTTGAGGCCAGAAGTATGCTTGTAGACTGAGTCTCGGCTGGCTATGTGTTCTACCCGTGCTAATAACGGTTTGTATTTCATGACAGCTTGAGACATGCAGATTAAACTGTGCGAAGTCCTTAAATTATAAATGTAAATATGATATGCTCTCATTTTTTTCTGGTTTTGGTTTGTGAGAGTGTGAATCTAACTAAAAAGATAACCTTTAGCATACTTATTTTGTTGGTTTATTTATTTGCACAGTATTACTGATTTCCTCCCTTTTAAACTATAGGTAAACTATAAGGCATGCCTACTTTGAGCTAATAGAACTTAGTGAATAAAAGGCATAATAAAGATTTAGAAAGGTTTCTCTGAGTGTCAGTTGTTGAAACTCCAGCTGATAAAATTGTTTTCAAATGTGGAACCATTAGATGTTGAATAAGAGCCAGCTTCCAGTGACTGCAGAATATTCTGTGGTGTTGGAGAAGTTGCCAAACTACAGAAAATAAATATTAGATACAAAAAGAAAAGATAGAAAAATAATATGGAATACTTTTTTGCTAAAAAGACCCATAAAAATAGTGTATAGGTATATTTAATTTTTTAGAAAAAAAAGATTTTATTCCCTGAGCTTCATCATCACAAATTCCTACAGGCAGAAGAATCAGTAGATAAACTGATTCTTGAGTCAGACAGAGATGGGAAATGGAACAAGCAAGCATCCTTTAATTTGCACACTTGAGTTCCAACCTTGAACATAGATGAGGCAATTCATTGCTACCGCGTAGCCAGCTTTCACATCTCTTTTATTTTCAGGAATTGGTGCTGATACTGTAGGGGTAGAATGAACTAAATATAGTATTTGCTTTATGGGATTGAATTCTCAGCTTTAATCTAGCATATTGAATTGATTTTTTAAAATCACATTTAGCAAATCCATAAACTGCGGAGAGAGCTGGTTGCATCACAAGAAAAAGTTGCTACCCTCACCTCTCAACTCTCAGCAAATGTAAGTCACTTTTGATTTTTGCAATAATTAAAATAGATTTTTAGAGAGTAAATGGAATAATTTCAGTAACGGATTTACAAATGTTAAATGCCCCAGACTGCAAAAACTTAAATCACTAAATATTGGGACTCACATGAAGATAAAAGCCCCTGCACACTGGATAATAAAATGTAAACCCCAATGGATGAGAAATAACAATGTGGTTAATGTGGCTTTTTGTGTCCTGTAAGGCTGAAGATTTTAGTAACAGCTGTAAGGGTTATCTCTTCACTTATTTCTTATTTTCACCACTGCCTATTCATAATACTTTCTGAGGCCACAATATGATTAGGGATACTGATAGTGATTAATTTTGAAAGATAAAATCTCTATGTGCCCTGCCTCCTACAGCACAATTTATTAGACAATTAGTTAAGCATACAACAAACTCTAGAAAATTAACTTAGGTCTTAATTCAGCTAATTTAGCTACACTGTAAATATAAAGTTCTCTCAAAAGCATTGGCAGCCTTCTCATAGCAGTTTAAGTCACCAGCAATGAAAAAATGATGTCCATAAAGACCATCAATTATATTAACATTTATTGACTATCTTTTCATGTGCCAGGAAGTACTTAGCATCAGTGCAGAGTAATAAAGAGGAGCATATGGGGCGCCTAGTCCTAAGGAACAGTGGTGTTAGAAGCGACAGTGAGGGGTAAGGAAGCTCCTGCTATTTTGCCATATGTCCCACCATCTTCACTCAGCATTAATCAGCTCAGTTCCACCGCGTAGCTTTGGGCCTGTTCCCTGACTCACCCACTCTCCGCTCTCCAGTGAGGTTTTTAGCTCCCGGACAAAGCATAACATAGCAAGAGTGAGCAGGTGTTGGCCCACCAGGTATGACTTGATGGAGAGCAATTCTAAGAATACAAATTATTGTGTAATATAGCTTCCACAGTATATAAGTAAGTCATTTCACTCACACTGTATTCATTTTAGCATGGCATTTGAATTGATTTTATCTTTCCAATATTGGGAGAATCAAATTAATTTGGGATTGGCTACACTTACTTTCTATAGCTCTTGTTAAGGGGGTCTTAAAAATAATAGCAAGTGTTTAGAGAATTGTTTAGGCAATACTGGAAGAGGGCAATGTCATTTAACCTATATTTTGTGTCTAAGAATAATTCTTAAAGAAACACTTCAGAAGCAACTTACATTTTTACTGTAGGCTAGATCAATAGTAGTATAAAATACTCCCGTCAAGGTTCCGTGAATTTATATCCAGATGACATATTATAATATTAATGCCAAAAACACACTGGGTTGAGTTTATCCACAATGAGGAATGCTTACTACCAGGCCCTATGCATTAGATGGTCAAGATGCTTACAGATGTCTTTAACGATTACTCAGGGTTTTAGTTCATTTTACAAATGCCTCTGGCATGGGTTTGTATATTCAGATATTATAATAATAAATGGCTGTAATGGAATTTAGGCTTTACACAGTCATTTTTAAACTATTTCCATTTAAATATAATATATACATATTGTATTAAAAAGAAAAACTGAAACTAAAAAGTGTTTAATAAAATTACACATTTGTTTGTCCCTTGGACACTCCCATTCCTACTCACAATTATCACTTATGTTTCCTTTCAACACTGATCTTTTACATACCCATGAATACATATATACAATACATATTTGCAAAGGCTTGCACACAATTTAGCAGCCAAATTCTAACCTAAGGGGACAGTCCTGGGGATTGACTCAGTCCCACTGTTTGGAGCCTACATTTTAAACAGATCGGTCAGCCATTGGCTGCCTACCGCTTCTGCTCCAATCATGCATGCCACACGATTTGCACTGATGTGTTTTCATGACTTTGGAGCATGTATTCTCAGCTGAGCATTGACATGACCATCAGAGGGTGAAAACTAGTTCTTGTGGTAAAAAAGTTTTATTCTTTTCATGCTATACCTTGAGTCCATAAGTAGCTTAAGTAGCTATCCAGCATATCGTGGTATTAAAATGTCATGGAGGAAGGGAGTGATTAGGAAAAAAGTACTGATATTGTATTGTCTCCTTAGAGGACAATAATGAAAAAAGAGTAACAAATACAGAAATAGAGAATGAGAAGAAGCAGTACCAAATGGATGATTTTGTTTTAGAAGTGCTAGTCTTAGGGAACATACCCAAATATCTCAGCCTCCTCTAGCTCTGTTATCATTAGTAGTATTTTTTGCAGAAGGATGGCAACTTTATATCCTACTTTGTATACTTTTTTTTAAACTTCACATTGCATTTTAGAAATCTTCTCAAATCACTGACATCCTCACAAAAACTTATACATTGCAGCTTTATTTTTTAATAGTGAAAAAACACTGGAAACAACTAAAATGTCCCAAAGGTCAACAGATGAACAGACTCTGGTACGTCCAAACCTTGGGCTGCTCAGCCGTAAGAAGAATACTTAATACCCAGTTATTTGGGGAAATTGGGTGAAGAGGTAAAAGGGGCCCCCTCTATACTCTTTTTACAACTTCTTATAAATTTATAATTATTTCAAATCAAAAAATAAAATAAAACCCCTGAAGACCTACCACAATTTTTAAAAGAAAAGCCTAGTTTTTAATTTTTTAGGAATTTCAATCTTATTTTACTTCTTAGTGCTCCTTTATTTGGTGGTGAGATGGGTTGTTAAAACTTTTTACCGTCAGATAAATTTATTGCAGAAAATGTCAAAAGATGAAAGTCAAGACACTTTTAACACACATGTATGCAGATTAATGATAAGACAGAATAAAATTATTCCTGGATAGAATTTCTTCAACATAAGTACAAAAATTATTCTTAAACTTGTACCCCTAACTTGGAGGTAGAGATAAGAATTTTATTTATTAGTTTATTCAGACCACAAGTAAACCTTTACCTTTTAGTTAAATGAGGTTCCTACAATGAGCATTATTGTGTAGAAGTGCAAGAGTCATGACTTTTAAAGATGAATTACCGTGAGTTTGACTTCTATAGAAAATATCATTAACTTATTTTTTATTTAGTAATCATTTTGAGTATCAGCTATGCCTTCTTAATATATGAATAATTCTACTAGGACTAAGATGATTTCCTTAATTTGGGGTATTTATTTTAATTGATTTATCACTTCTTTGGACCTGAAATTATTATATTGCGTCCACACAATAATCCACATTTTAATTTTTAAATGTGAAACTTAACTGCTTCTCTACTAAAATGTTTTTCCCCTGTTTGTTAAAAAGCGGCAGTGGTAAGTCAAAAAGGCATCCAGTCAGCTCACCTCTCATTTGACTGGCACAGAATGTGCACTGAGCCTTCCCACCCACTTGTGAACTTCTCTGTTCAGAGATGCATAAAGCCCTGGGAAGACCTTGTTAAGTCATTTCTAATGCGATGCCTTTAGAAAGCAGACAGGGCATGCTGCCAGGCTCTATTGGCTGGCTCTCCTGAATCACCAATGAGCAGGAAGAAAGGAAACAGGAACCCCACAAGCAAAGGGACCTGCATGGATCTGATCACATCACACAGGCAGCCAGGTGCCCTCGGCCTCCCGCCCACACCTTCAGGCAGCCGAGTCAGGTGGGAGAATACATATATAAAATATTTTCTTTACAAATCTCAGTCCTTAGATCATTTCAAAATGGGTGCTAAGGTTAGTTATTATTACCATTTTTCAAAGACATCCCTGAATGAATATGTAACAAAACAAAAGGTACTTCTGCTTTGCAGTATGTAAGTCTTTCAGCCAAAAATATCTCAGGTATTATTTTCTTTAGGATTATATCCTATTTCTTTGCTCTAGTTAATATTTTTATATACCCTGGCAGCTATTCTTGCTTTCCTGAATCTTCTTTAAGAGAAAAATATTCCACATATATTAGTGACAAACACTGAAGAGATAATTTCATAAAGTGTAAAAAATATGAAACCTTATTTATGATCATTTCAGAGTAATTTTCAGTTCATTGAACTATTGATTTTCAAATGTAAAGTCATCTATATCTATCCATCCATCCATCCATCCATCCATCCCCATGGAAATCCAGGTACAGAATATTTTTTATTTGGTTCATGCACTGTCACTAAATTCTAAGTGGACAAATACACAATACAGGCATTTTTCATAATGATTTTTCATCTTCTTGTTTAGCAACACGAAATTTCTCTTTACGTGTCGATTCAGATTCTGTTACATGGTTCCAAAACTAAATACCTTCCCTTAACTAATATTCAGTCTTGTCTATTTTATTACCTTGACAGACTTCAGCCACCACACTTGGCAAATATTCATCCTCACACAATCATCACTGATATGATTTCAGTCTGGCTTAAAAATTATGCAACTTCTCAAAGAGCCAAAAGGACTATGATTAACTTCCCCCTCAAAAGCCATAGTTTTTAAAAAAGTCACCATTTCATAAAGTTTTTCAGACAGATACATTGTCCTACAGTTTTCAGTTTTACTTAGCATTTTCTCTCCCTTAAGGTGACAGAGACCGTCACTGGTAGAAATGCTTTCTTACTCCCTTTCCATTAATCCAACTGGTGAAAAATTTAACTTTGTATTACCTGCAAAATAACAGAATCAATCTGACAAACTAAGCCAGGGGCACATAAATTTAAAGTAATATTTAAAGTAACATTTTTAACATTTTCATTGATAACAATGTGGCTCAAGTTAAAATGTTCTTTTGTAACCAGTTGGTCATTGTCTTGTAAATAGTTAATGAAGAGAAATTTTTCAAAGATTGAAAACTGACATTCTGATGGTGAATATTTTTTATTTATTAATGGCTAAAAAATATAAGCAATTTATTTTTCAAGCATATTCTTTATATTTCTGCTTTCTTTGTCATATTTTAATTCTTATTAAACTGACAAAATATGCACAGAATGTAATGTCCTGCAAGTCCATATGGTCAAGGCCTCATAGTCCAACCAGTAAAGCTTACAATTGTGTGGGAGAATTCAAACTTTGCAATATTGAGTAGAATCTTGCATTTCTTTTAGTAAATGTTAGCAAAGGTTTTCTGTCAGAAGTTTCACTACTTTAAAAGAAAACAAGCAGTTTTCGTTTTAGGATTTAGTAATTCATTGTATGGTCATAGAGTCTTATTTCTATTAGTCAGACCTGGAGTCAGCACCAGTGGTCAGCATAGGCAAGTATACTACAAATCACACAGAGCAATGCAGCACAGCAGACTTTTAAGTCCTGCCACACACCATGTGCAGGAACCTCAAAAACACAATGTTAAGCAAAAGAAAACAGTTACAAAAAAATCATGTCATATGATTCCATTCAGATAGTTTTAAATATCAGCAAAGCTAAAACAAATTGTTTAGAGATGCAAGCTTAGGTGGTAAAATTATAAAAGGAAGCAAGAAAATAACTACCACAAAAGTCACAATAGTGTCCCTTTGGAGAAGGGACAGGGAGAGTAATGAGGGAGGGGCGAGGGAGGACTTCCAGGGTATTCAAATGTCCTCTTTCTAAAATTGGCTGGTGAGTGTATGAATGTTCACTACATGCTAAACCAGTGAGCTGGGCATTTTCATTTTATCCTCTTTTAAACTGATGAGGTTTTTTTTTTACAATTAAATAGTTAAGTACAAGGGAAAGTGAGTGAGACATAACCTTATGCTGATTTCTGAAGGTCCTAAGTCTAATGTAATGACATTGCTTGTTAATGAAAATATTTTAAACTATAAGATACTATTCCTTTTTTTAAAAGCGCTATTTATCCCATCAAATCTTCTAACAAACATTGGTGTATAATTCTCAAGGCTGTGTGTGTGTGTCTGTGTGTATTTAAGAGGGGGAAGGAGGAAATGGACAAAGAATGAAGACTTGTACCGATGGACTGAAGATTAATAGAAGTATTCTTTACAAATTATCTTCTCTTTTGTACAATGCAGTGTCAGGAACAGAAAGGCAACCCAGGATAAATTCAGGGCTAGAAACAAAGACACCTTTGTATCATGATGCTAATGGAAAGGAATTGTACATTCCAGGTGTTACCAATGATGGAATGAACTTCTAGTGCCCTAGCTCTCAGGACTTCTGCGACCCATTTGATAATAGTGACCTCAGCCTCTCACCTCTGCTGGAGCTATAAGGCAATGTTTTTAAATTGAGTCCTCTCATTCCCTTCCCTCAGAAATTTATCTTTTGCCATGGATTGCCAAATTTTCCCCACACATAGTTTATTAGAGATGTAGGTTGTAAAGTAGTCTATCCTTGTATCCTTTTAAAGTCACAATAAAATTAGATCAGTTTGAGATAACATCTACCTCAAGCCACAGTGAAAAATCGAAGCACCTCTTCATGCTTAATATTCTGTGGGTCGAGCTGCTGCATCGGGGATATCAGTGGGGATAGCCTGTTTTAGAGCTGTAACAAGATTGTCAAATACTTCTTAATCATGAGAGCTATGAATATCACCACAATATATATGATTCTCTGATGCTTAAAATAAAACCCAAAGCCACAAAAACTTAGATAAATTATGACTGAATATTATTTCTAGCTGGTCTACCTTCACTTCCTTAGTTGAAGGAGTAAAGCAGAAATAAAAGCCCTTTTCTTAAAAAGAGTTTGGAAAATAAAGACAACTTTTTTTTGATTCACTTCTTTTTAAGAAGAAAAAGAGGAAAGATAATTGTTATAGGGGTCAGCAGATGTCTTACCTTGGAGAAGAGTGTCATTTGAATGCAGAAATTAACAATATCATCAAAGGCCATTATATAGGTATGAAAATGAGAGACATTTGTCCACTGACTATGTCAGTGACCTCCTCTTGGGCTCTAAGTCTAAAAACTTGGCAACTCACAACTTTATTCAGTGCTTTCAGGTGTCAAATCCTCTGGGATGTGCAAGTCAGACAGTGTTATTATTTGCAAGATACCATCCCTTTTCATAAGCTGAGCTCACATTAAATGTCAAGGTATGAAACACTGATTTAAGCTGAAGTTTAGAAAAGATTATTGAAAATTTGTGTTAAAGGAAAGTCACCATAGAGAGAGCTAACCATGATGGCCATAGTACTTAAAGAGCTCAAATACCTGAAGTTAAACATTTTGTAAAATGAAGGGTTTTCATCCATCTTCGTAAGGTTCTGGCATTTAAAATGTGTTCCTTCCATTTTGTTCACAGGCTCACCTTGTAGCAGCTTTTGAGAAGAGTTTAGGGAATATGACGGGCCGATTGCAAAGTCTAACCATGACAGCAGAACAGAAGGTATGTTCAGGAATTGCCACTGGGGCCTCAAATGAGACAGCAAGTTGCATAGGATGTTTAACAAATGCCTGAGATGCCTCCTTAAAAAATCATCTACAGAAGGAGCCATTCCATGCTAAGGGGATCAATGACAAGATAATACCTTTTCAGATTTTAATTGAAAGACTTAATGATTCTGATTAATCCTTACTGGAACACACACACACACACACACACACACATAGTTCTTTCTAGGCGGTCAATTATTTTACTTCAGACTGGAATAATTAAAATACCAAATGCTAAGAAAGAGAAATAGTTGTATAGGAGAAAAGAACAGTTTGTTATACATTTTCACCATGTCGTAGCTATAGACTCTGGCTGTAGTCTGAGATACCATGATGAAGGCCTGAAACAAATACCAGGACTCTGCAAGGTAAAGGAGCCTTTGTTTACCACATGCATGGGACAACCCCCTGTAATACTGGAGCAGCAAGGACTAGTGGACACCTGGGGATGCTGTCTTTATAGTAGAGTCAATTTATATCAAAAGCTGTAAGATAAACCTGAAGGACTTCATGGAGTGGAAGAAGAGATACTAAAAGGAAAGGGCCATAGAATTTTGTTCACAAAGGCAGAAGTGTCAAAAAGATCCACTCTGCTAGGAAGAATCTTAACACTTTCCATATGGAGAACAGTAACTTAACTCTGCCATTAGTTGGGTGGCTATACCCTGGGTCCTGGGATGCATTTTAGAGACCATTGAAGTCTCTAAAACTGTGGAAATACTTTTAAAAGTGGTGCATTTGCAAATACAAGCAGATGCCCATGATTTTCATTTAATTTTCAAAGAGATCCATAATCTGTAAAGTTTTGGATATTTTCAGAATCAGCTCCCATATCTATCTATAGGATGGCATCAGTTTTTTCTTGAGTTCTCTAAAGTATGTCACTAAAGAGCTAGCAAATGTTACTAAGTTTTGTCAGTTTATCATTTTTTTGAGTTAAGAAAACACTGAATGAACAGCCCAATAAAATCAAAAAAGAAAATTGAATATTCCTATAATTACTCAATGTAATTACCAAATTTTATTCAATATGTCTTTATCTTCCATTTTTCTGTTTCATAGCTTTTCCCTGCCCATGAAAGAGAATCGTATTCATCCCTGTCAAGGGAAGATACCAAACTCTTATTGAGCAGATGAACTTTTTCTCAGTCTTTTGGGGTAGTACATTTTGCCATGTCACTATATAACATAAAACTCAGCAAATAGGGGTCTTTTAAGGCAGCTGAATGGGAAAGAATATTAACTTTGGGGTCTAGTAGACTTAAGAGCTGTGGAATCTTCCTTTCCTGACTCTCAAATTCAGCATTTTAAAAGTGGGGATTATGAAAACTACCTTGTAGAATCATTATGAGGAATAAGTGATATACTATAATAATGTCACATGCTGTTGAGAGTCAATAAGTTATCTTCCTTTGCCTCTATCTCCTTTTTTCCCTTAAAAAATGTAAGGTAAGCCAAATACTTCTTTGGCCTTATGCCAGGCATATTGCTAGAAATCATGGTTAGTATTTAAGTCTCACTATCTTTAAGAAGCCAAAATTAATATATTTTTGCTCCCCATTTCCTTCAACTCTTTCACATTTGTATATAAAATTTCTCATAGAAATTGGAAAAATATACATATTTGTTAATTTATGCTTGTGAATAATGCCTGAATATTTTAAAATACATCTCCAAAATATAAGGAATTTTATAATTGTGTGCACATTATCCTTAAAGTAACATTGCCAAAATTATTAAGTTTTCTCAGAATATATCATAATATCTGAAAGTGCCCTGGCCCTTTTTTTTTAACTGAAAATGAAATGATTGCTCTTTACATGCAAGTTGTACACACACAACAATATTAGTAAGTAGTTTATTTTATTTGTCAGAGATTTATAACTTATTTCCAAAGTGGTTTTGAGACTTGCATACAGTTAATTGCAGCATGCTATATGGCACAATTCAGTGACAGAATCTAGTGAAAATGGGGAGAGGAATGTTTATAACAAGATGCCTGAGCCTGTGTAATTGCTGCTGCAAAGCATGAGCTGAACTGAGTGTCATGGAAGCTCAGGCCCAAAGGGAGATCGCTTGGTGTGTTTTGTTACCACTTCCTGACTAGGAGAGCATAATTTAGATTGAAGAGACAAACTTTTTGGCACTGACTTCAAGGACAAATTTATTGTAAAGTTTCTTACATTGGGGTCATGCAATAACAAAACACAAAATCACTGTTCAAATAGACATTTCTCTAAAAGCTGAGGGCATAACATTTAATCATATTTCAGTAAAGTCATTTCTTCAGGGAGCTGAGATAAACGAGTATATTGCTCTCTAGTGAGCCAACAATCCCAGGAAAAAGATTAGAGAATATAGAACTGAGGCTTTGAAATTCTGTTCTGGAGTTCCAAGGTCCATTTGTCCATTTAGCCATTCACTGAAGTTATATTGAACTTCTACTGTGTATGGGATACTGTTCCAGCCACCAAGAATTCAGCAGTGGGAAAAAACATATATATATATGTAATGTGTATATATATATACATATATATATGTATATGATTAATTTTATTTACATATATAATGTACAAATGTGTACACACATATATATGCCCATGTAAATACACACACATATAAACAGATATAAGATATACACACATGTATGTATACACTTTTATATCCTAATTTATAACGGGTTATAATATAAAATAGAATTTATATTCTAGGAGGTAACACACTATGATAAAAATTTACTTAAGACGTACAGGATTTCAGGTGAAGATAAGCCCCCACTGAAAGTTTAAAGCTGCGGATGAGGTCACTGGGAAGCAAGGCAGAACGCTAACACATGAACAAAAGCCAAGGTGGTTACGTGTTCCTGGGTGTGTACTGAAGAGATGGGTAAACTCAACTAGTGTCAGATCCAAGTCTTCTGGCTTCTGGCTTCAAGGTGTGATGTTCAACAATTCTGTGACATTAATAGTCTGAGAACTGTACAAAAATAGAGTTTGATTTATAGACCAAGATCACTTCCTTGAATCATGTTTAAAATTTTTCCTTATTTCTAGATGCCAATTCACACTGATTCTCTTGCCAAACTTATGTGCCAGAACATTGCTTTATTCATTTACAGTTTTATAGGGAAGAAAAGACATATATGAATAACTCAGGAGGCAGAAAAATTGGGGTATGGTTAGCAGTGTAACAGTGCCGTGTCCCGAGCATTCTCACAGCTGACCACTGCATCACACTGGTTTCAGAGTGGAGGCGACACAGAGCAGCCATCCCAGGCTCTGGGAGGATGAAGATTCATTCAGGGGAATAGGAGGACTTTATGCCACAGAGAAAGGAACTCCAGGAGCATGAACAGTACGGACAGAAATTATGGGAAATATTAAGGGAAACGAAGGACTGTGGGTGGAACTAAGGCTATAAAGATATGTAAGGAATCTGGTCAACACTTGCTGAGAGCAAGGAGCCGTGCGAGGTTTTTGATAAAAGTTAGTTACTGATGATCAATGTAGCAGCATTTCCAAAATTTAACAGCATTCTCAATAATCTGTAGATGAGCATATGTTATAGAATAGTAAGCCTATAAATAGGAAAAATTAAGATAATTGTCAATAATGCCTGTTGGCTGGAGGGTGAAATTATCTCCAGGTATTGCCATATACCTAACCTAAGGCTCAACAGATTATCGTAGTGACATATTTTGATTAAGGATTTTACCTGTATTCAGGTCCTTCTCCCTTTTCTAGGTAGAGCTTCTCCATCATCATTCTTTGAGAGAATTAAGACCTAATGCTTTGAGGCATCTACTTTATGTGGTGAAGTAACTTCTTTTCTCTGCATATAAAGCAGTACTAACTATGCACCATTGTTAGAGTTGAAAAATTGTCACTCAAATTACTGTTCAGGGCTTTATTTTCTTACAGAGTGCCTGATGAGAAAGGCTCTAATACAGGTCATCAAAATGGGAAGAATTTGAAAATCTGTATTTTTATGAATGAACATTTTACACAAGTCCTGCTAAATCCTTGCAAATTTACTAAGCCTGTCCTCATTGATAAATGGAAAACTTTCAAATCAATTCCCTATAGCTATTGTACTTGAGGCAATTAGAACGTCTATTAAGGTATGCAAGTTAGTTTTGTTAGAAGGTCAGAGCACAAGAAAGAGATAATGTTTTGTATGAATGAAGGAGCTAAGATACTGTTCCTGAAGTCTAGGGTTGGCTCTTGAAACTACTTTTTTCTGATGGCTGGATGAATAGAAACTTTAAAAATGAAAAAGTTCAAGACAAAGTCTCTGGAAATAGATAATATAAAAGAAACAAAAAATTCAGTTGAATTGGGTCTTTACATTAACTACTCCCAGCTCAAGTTAAAATATTTGTCATCTGGAAGTGCTTTTAAAAATTTATAACTAGAATAAAAAAATATATTCATTAGTCCTTTAAGGGCATAGAATAATTTGAATCCGTAATTCATTTATGGATTCAAGTTACTTATACTACTGAGATGTGGTGAATTTAGGTCATTTAATTAGAACCAGAACCAGCCAGGGTCTTTCAGTGGGAAAAATTTACAAGGTTTCAGGCCACATAAGCAAAGGGTGGGGAGTGGGATGTATTCAAAGAAACTACAGCTAGATAGTGTGACATTAACTGAGTGTCAATGTGGGGAAGAAAAATTTTTGCAGTGGAAATTTTTAAGAGCCTTCTGTAGAAGGTCAAGTTGGTTGATGAGATTTGTTGCCAAGTGTGGGATTCTCAGCAAGGCCTGTGTCCAGGAGAATTTGGCAAGAGGTCAAATATAGTTAGGAAATTAGGTTGGAAAGGACAGCAGGCAAGGCTAGCATTATAACACAATATTTGATAATTTTATTTTGAAGCATCTCAGGTCTGACCTTGATAACTAGTTTAGCTTCAGAGACATTTACAAGACAGAAGAGACATTGACTCTATTCAGCTTCTTTTGCATGAGAAACTCAAGGAAAACTAGAATTTTAAATGGTCATCAAATGTTCAGGACATCATCATCTTGAATGACTCATTGTAGGTAAATGAAATTTTAATTGGGCTTCAGGTTTTCAAGTAACACTTTTTTATTTTAAAAATATGACCTGACCATCTTATTCCCAGGATCCTTTGCAGAATTATCCCAATCTTCTCCTCAGCATCTAATTAATGAGGACAGTAGGAAATTGTAAACTACTGAATTAGAGGAACAGACTTTAAAGCCATATCTTGATGGCATATGTATTTTCCAGTGTTTAATGTATTTAAAGTCTTAATAGATTCTCAGAACCTGAAAGTATCTTCTATAATGTCACCTTCAAAATAAAAAGACTGAAAATATTTCAGATTATCAAACAGTGTTATTTATAGTTGGAGATCTCTGCAACTCACTACTAATTGTATTTGTGATTCACACACCCCACCACAGCCAGAAAAGGGAATTCCTAGTTGTACTTACACGTTGCAATTTCCATGCAATATAAATTACTTAGAAAAGTATAGCTAACAATAAATGTGAGCAACCATTATTATGAAGGGGAAAGAAGGAAGACTAGAAATAAACTATTAAAAGACAATCTCTATGTCTTGGTCAGGTTTTCATTTTGAAATGCCTTATATTCATCTCTTTATACTGTTGGAAAGGAGAGAGGAAAACCTGACTGTTGCCATCCCAAGGAAATGATTCCACTGATTTGGCCTATTGAGACTTTCTGTATATAATGAGTAATACAATTATTGATGTTTTTGTATGGCACCCTAGGTGATCAAACACCCTCATGTTAAATATGCAGTGGTGTTGAGGTTTTACATTATTCTTTGAAAGGAAAAACATCTGTTTAACATAGACCAGACATTTGAACAAAACCATCCCAACTTTTATCAAGATCATAAATTAGGTGGAAAGATAAACTCTTCAACAACTAAATAAGCTGAATACATTAAAAGGTTTGGAAGTACAGAGAAAGGGCCTTGCCATTTTTTCTGAGAGGCAAACAAGAGGTTTCAGGTATATGGAGATATATTGCCTTGGCTTTAAATGGTGAGGAAGGATATTTAAAGCAAAGGGAAAAATAGTACAGAAAGACTCAGAGAAAGAGATGGTTCTAGTCTGAGTAATGGTGAGGTTGGATCTCATTAACTGAAACAAGAAAGAAGGACAGAATTTTTGCAGATATGAAGAAATAACTATTCGGGTTGAACAGATTGTCAATGTAGAATTTATCTGTCTTTCTAATTAAACACAATTGAACATAGGTACGTGCTTGTACTTACAAAGTTCTCCCAAAGAACTACTAACATGAATTTAGCTAAACTAATTTTTCATAGATGTGATTTTCCCAAGTTATATAATGAATATATTTCTTACCTAGTTCTAGTTATTCTTCCTCTGAGTTTTTTGACACAATGAGCAACAACTAAACCTGCTAATACCTTTTGTTGTTAAAAAGACAATTTTAGTAGCAGTAGACCTATAGACACTGAGAAATGACTGGTGGCTACCATGGGGGAGGCCTTGGGGTGGGTGGGGAGGGTGAGGGGGATAAAGAGGCACAAAAATTCTCAATCATAATGTGGGTTGGTCACAGGGATGGTAATACAGCATGGGGAATATAGCCAGTGATTCTGTAACATCTTTCTATATTGACTGTACTAGTGGGGGTGAGGGTTTAATAATGTGTATAACTTGAACCACTGTGTTGTATACTTGAAACTAATATAAGATTGTACATCAACTATACTTCAATAAAAACAAAGTTGCAACTGTATTTTTATATATAAAAAAGACAATTTTAGGGAGTGATCAGTCTTCTATCTCATATTAAATAGTTTTCTAAAAAAGCAATAATCCCTGAACATTCTACTTCTAACCCACTTAAAACATTCCTAGAATAGATTTATCTAGAAAGCTTTAGAATTTTTACAGCAAAATAAGTTGGCTAACCCATAAAGCTAAGTTTTTTTGACATTTGCGTGCGATGTCATTTCCATTTTTCCTCTTTAAACCTAAAGCCAAGTGTTTTAGCAGATTTTTAATCCACAGTACTAGCACTACTGATTTTAAATAAAAGGATGAAAATCTGATTTTAATTAAAATTTAACTTACATCCTAGTCTTTATGTTGTTAAATTCCTATTTATATTATGTGATTCACTAAGTATGCACTATTGATATCCTTTTGTAAATAAATTTCTAGTAAAAGCAGAATGTATTTCCAGTAAATATTTAATCTCTTGGGAGATTTATTTTAAGTGGAAAGTATATTAAATTTTGGTAAATTTATTACTAATTGGCTAAGGGGCAGAATATAGATAGAACTTTGAACAATTATGATGACTTGGGTGTGAATTTCCTGTCATTATATTGGAAGTTTTCCACAAACATACTCATTTTCCTTTATGATAAATAAACTCAAATAAAATTATAGTAAAGTATTTGCAGATCCCTCTGTGAATCCAAGAGGTTGCTATTGATTTTTCATCATGAGATTCTTTGACTTATAAGCTATTAGTAGTCTATGAGACGGTTAATTTTTACTCTCATCTGTTAGATACCAATGAAAATAGATATAGGATGTGCCACCTATTCTGAACGTGGATATCATTTCAATTAGCATCATTTATCTTCTTTGTTCAGTTCCTCTGGGTAGGATAGTCACCGGACATTCCCATGTATGAAAGAGTTTCATGAAAACTTCTTTCATATATCCTGGGAGACACTGAGTAGGGATAAACTTTTCACCTTGGAGGGAAGAACTCACCCTTGAGTCTTAGGTTTTTTTGCCAAAGGTGCTAGCAAAAATGATGAGTGACAAGTATAGGAAAAACTATGTTCTTCCAGTTAGGAATTTTATTAGATGAAAAGTATCAGAATCTAAGATGACCTCAATATGCCAGCAGAATTTAATAAACTGACATCTTGTAGGAGTGAGTTAGGGATGAATTCCAGCTTTTCACTTGAGTATGAAGACTCAATTCAATAAAAGAGAGAATCTAACATCGTTTATTTAACAACGACTCAGGGTTTCCATTGATAGTAAATGCAATATGATGCCTCAGTGCAGTGCTGATATCTAACTATGGAATGTAACCATAGGTAATATTGATAAGCTTTGTATAAAATAAGCAACGTGAGATCTTGCTTTACATTGTACTGATCAGCTTTGGGTGCCACCCTTTGAAAGGAATGAGGACTATTCAAATCACATTTTTAAAGAGAATAACCAAGAAAAAACATAACTTTCCTTTATATTTAGCTAAATAAGAAGGTGTTAGATACACCTTGAAAGGTCAGCCAAGCATACTGATCCCCCAGGATGTTAGCACTACATAAAACCAAACCTATTTGATAGTGAATTATGAACTAGGACATTTTACTATTCTCTCCAGGTATTAAATTTTCTAATTTCTGTTTGTTCACAGGAGTCTGAACTTATAGAACTAAGAGAAACTATTGAAATGCTGAAGGCTCAGAACTCTGCTGCCCAGGCAGCCATTCAGGGGGCACTGAATGGGCCAGACCACCCTCCCAAAGGTACATTTGGAAATGTTGCCATTTTTCATCTAATATAATAGGCATTTATTCTATTTGTTAACTATAGAAAAGCTGCTTTTACTCAGTGGTACTGCCTTTTATAATGTCTAAGTTGGTATTAATGCAGTCAGAATTTCAGAATTTAGGAACAGTAACTTTAAAATAATTTCAAATAATTAAAAAAAATTTCAAATAATTTTTAAATGGACCTTAAGGAATTTGCTTCTATAGTTGTGCACACATTTCTCTCCACTTGATTTGGTGAAGGTGGGGTGGAGAGACTGGTTAATATGTTTGTATCTGACTTCAAGTAAAACAAATCCAATAAGGAATATGAAAATCTAGATGTGATACAAAAATAAAATAATCTATCTGGAGAAATACAAAGTAGTGGGTATGGGGAACAACTGGTCCTGGGTAGAAGAGGCAGTAAAAAGGTACACTTCTTATACAGACTTTAAAAACAGTAAGAAAATGGACTAAAAGTTGGTTTCCTTTTTATTATTGCCATGCTTCAACAAGATAAAACAACAAAATAATCTTTTTAATTCGCCACTGAAGAAATGTTCCATATTAATGTCATTGCTTTTTCTTTACATAGGTTATATTTATTCATGTCCTAACTCTTCAGTGACATTCAATATACTCAGCTCTTTACCAGCCTAAAAATGATATCCTAAATCCTATATGCCCTGTCATCTTTCTTCCCATTTGCATGTGATTTCTGGGAAAGTTTTATGGAGTCATTCAATGTCTTCAGCAGCCAGTCACACTTTAGACTATTATAGTGTGGCTTCTCTTCTCACCACTCAACCAAAGCTGTTCTCTCCAGGATTATATGAGACTATGTCTAGCACAACATTTAAAATTCTTGATATTGAAACAGCATTGGATACTTGAAGCATTCATTTCTTCTAATATTCACAACATTGACATTCATAGTTTTTCTTCTTCTCCTTTGAAATCTCTTTCAAAGTTTCTTCTATAAGTTCACTCATTTGTATCCATTTGTTAAATGTTGATGTTTCTCAGAACCCAGTCCTAAGCTGTCTTCCATTATGATTTTGTACAGTATGATTCTCTTTAGCCTGTCTAAAATTCTATACAAACTTGTCTAGCACTCTAGCTGACATTATCATTTATGTGTTGATAACTGTCAAACATATTTCTCCAGGGCAGGCTCAGTTCTTGAGTCACAGGTGTGAATATCCAGTTGCCAAAGCTGTTGAGTTTAAGGTGACTGAGCTCCAAAGATAATGAAATGTAGTTATCTTTGGAGGTTGGTCACCTGTGCTCATCATCTCCAAATTTAACATTGTCATCTTCCCACTCAGACCTGCTTTGCATTCAGTGTCCCTTGCCTCAGTATGTGGCACCATGATCCTTCCATTCAGATAGAAATCTAGGTGTCATTTGTAAATCCTCCTCTCCTCACTCAATAAGTCACCAATTTCTGATGATCCCACTCCCTTAAATATCTCTTGGATCTGTTCTCTTTTCTCTGATTGTACTACCACCATCCCTCATCTCTCCCCTGAACTATGAACTACAAACTTCTAAGGTCTTTTTGGTCCTCATCTTACACTACTTTACACCATTCTTCATGCTGAAACCAGATCAATTGTCTAAGAATACATATCAACAAGTATCTCATTGCCTTAAGGGTGAGATACAAACTCCTCAACAAGACATAATCTCTCTTCTCCAGCTTCATTCATAAAACAAATATTTATTGATTGCCAGTTATGCGGTAGTCATTCTTCCAGACCTTATGTCTTCCCTTTTTGCCACATTGTATATTTCATATTTCAGCTATCTCAAACTTCTACATTGTCAGTAATTCTTTATATATTCTGTTTTTTTTCTGCTTGGACCTTCCTACCCTGTTTGTTCAGCATAAAAAATTTTTGAGACCTTGCAAAAGTTAGCCTAAATATGTCCGCTTAACCCCTAAAGTGAATGAGATTCCCTTTTGATATAGTTTTGGAAATAACTGTGTTTCCACTATCAGAATTCCCAGTATACCTTGGTGCCTTAGTTTACTTAAGGTCTTCCTTTCCTGGTAGATGTTAGAGTGGATTGTGTTTTAAATCTAAGTGGCTATGATGATGCCCTGCCCATAGCAAGGGCTTATTCTAATAAAATAAAAAAGGATAACATAGTTTTAAAAAACCTTTGAATTTACATTTTAGGAAAACAGTTATATAAAGTGAGATCTACTTAAATTAAAGGACAAACTAGTTCTCCAGGGGCTACTTCTGTGAAGAATTTAACAACTTTCCAAGTGAAGGAGTTGATTTATATGCTGCATGGAAAATTACTGCATATTTAAAGCTTATCTTAGAGCTATAATAAAGCAGCTTATGTTCTAAATCTTTATGTTGTAAATAGGTCCAGAAGGGATTTTAAAAGACTTAATCCTTTCTTTGACACAGTACAAATAACTGAAGTAAAACTTTCTGGAAGGATTCCTTCTATCTTAGGCAACAGGTAGCTTAATATATCTCCTGGAATTGAAAAATAAGAATTCCTTTGCTCAGAAATGTGGGAGAAGTGCCTCATATGAACAAAATGATAACAGTTAACATTCAACTTGGTTAAGAAACATTAAAAAATAGTTTCCCAAGATTTAAACCAACAAAAACAAATAGATATAATGGGTTGAGTGTATATCGGATATTTATATTGTTCCTGTCAGATGACACTCACTATTAAGTCTAGTGAACACAAACATGATTATTATATTAACAGTTGAGATTACATGTAAAAAACTAACAGTCAGTTGTTCTAATTATATATCTTTCCATTGGTGGAAATTTGTAAGGTAATTTCCTTACAATTATACAATTTATATGGGCTATAAAGTTCTTTTCTGAAATCACACTGCAGGTAGGTTTTTGAGACCTATAAAATATTTATGTCAGGTAAATTTTTTTTTTGAGAGGACATCTCTCATATTTATTGATCAGATGGTTGTTAACAATAAAATTCTGTATAGGGGACTCAATGCACAATCATTAATCAACCCCAAGCCTAATTCTCAACAGTCTCCAATCTTCTAAAGCATAACAAACAAGTTCTTAGATGGTGAACAAGTTCTTACATAGTGAATACGTTCTTACATGGTGAACAGTGCAAGGGCAGTCATATCACAGAAACTTTCGGTTTTGATCATGCATCATGAACTATAAACAATCAGGTCAAATATGATTATTCATTTGATTTTTATACTTGATTTATATATGAATCCCACATTTCTCCATTATTATTATTATTATTATTATTATTATTATTATTATTTTAAATAAAATGCTGAAGTGGTAGGTAGATGCAAGATAAAGGTAGAAAACATAGTTTAGTGCTGTAAGAGGGCAAATGGAGATGATCAGGTGTGTGCCTATAGTATGTCAGGTAAATTTTTAACGTACAACTTTAAGATGTATATTTGGAGTAGGCACACTTTAATAAACAGTTCAAACTATGGCAAAATCACCAATTTATTAATGTAAGTTTCTATTTTCTTTATATTTGTGCATCACACTTATTAACAAAGTGTAAAAACAGTACAGTCCATAATAGAATAAATTTATTCATTCATAAACATTATCTTTGCATCTGCTATGGACTAACCACTCTATTAGATCTTGAAAAACCAAGATTCAAACAAAATACCTCTGTACTAAAGGCTCACAACCCACCACAACAAAAGGTAAATACATATATGTATCTAGAATACAATCATAACTTTATAACAAACATTATTATCATAGGCTGAAAGATAAAGGTAATGGAATATTTTACTTTATTCTGCAAAATGTACTATTGCTTTCAAAGTCACTATCTCTGTGCATAAACATGGAATACTTTTTCATTGAGATCTATCAAGTGTAATTCAACAGAACATGTTTTAAATTGCTTATATTAACAGTAAATATTTTTTTAGGAATGTCAGGTAAACATAATTGTGCTGAATGAATAATGAGAATAAATTTGTTCAACAAGTCGTTATTGATCAGCTACCACATGCCATACTCTGTACAAGGTCTTGAATATATGATGGTAAACAAAATAGACATAGTCTTGGTCTCTGTTAAACTTTTAAACTTTTTTTTTAGTATCATTAATATACACTTACATGAACAACATTGTGGTTACTAGATTCCCCCCATTATCACGTCCCCACCACATTCCATTAAACTTTTAGTCTCAAAGGAAAGCAGAAAAATGCTCCAAGTCCAGTACAACATTCTGGATTTAATAAAAACCCTGGAGTACTTTAACACTTAGTACATCTGCTCTATTCATAAAAGACAATTATTAGGGAAAAATTCTCAAATGCTCTATCTTGTTCACAAAAGCTTATAGTCAACTACAGCAGAAATTTAAAACACAAGTAAATGCCTACACATATTCTTCTATCATTTATTCATATAATTCCCATATTAGTTGATGAAGGGATGCTATGCTTCTGTATATAAACAGATACCTTGATTTAAGTTTGGCATTGGTAATGCTTTTGGCAAGTAAAAACAGTAAATGGTGCCATTGTTATTTTTTAGAAACTTTTAAGAGACCAAAATCTAGGAATTCTGGAAGGGAGCTGTATTTTTTCCCTCCTGTAAAATTTGTCAGTATGGTTATTAACTTAATGGAAAAGTCATACTTATTAATAGGTATATATATGAGTGTAAGGATGGAAATATGTGTGCATATATCACATACCACACATATATCTCATTTATGTTTTGAAAATAATCAGTTACAGTTTCATTGCCACAGATCATTTTATTGTTAAATAAGTCAACTGAAAAACTTTGATTTTATGCTCTTATTTTTGGAAACTTTTTGAAAGCTATGAGTAATTTCTGACATCTTATAAGTACCACTAAAATTTTTTGCTTGCCTAATCTATATTGATACCAATTAAATACAGGAATAAATATTGCCTAAAGGCAGACTTGATCTTAAAAATTATTTTATAAATTCCTAGTGTCTCCACTAACTCTTAAGATCAGCTCACTCTAAGCAATAACATTTTAATATCAATTTTAATTTTAGTAACTATAAATATATCTTATAAGTTGATTGTATGGAGTACCTTCAAAAAGTGATTAAATATCATAAACTATCCTCTTCAAAATATCTTATGTAATGAGAAGCATTCCGTGCTTTTTAGAAGTAGAAAGAGGCCTTATTAAGTGGCCATTAACACAGCAGACATTAAAATCAGTCTAGGTCTCAGGTCGATGCCACTGTTTTTCAGCTATTTGAGTATGGGAAAATTGCATTTAGTAATTAAACTAATTTCAATGGTTTGCTCTAAGAATAAGATTAGATAGTCCCAGGGAAGATTAAGGACATAGTAAAAGCTAGCTTTATTATTACCTGCTTCATTATTGTTACTATTATTATCGTTCCAAATTATGGGGTATTATGGAAGAATTATACTGTCTTAAATGTTTTCTGTTTAATTCACGAATGTACCCTGCCTGGATTCTCTCTTGAGAATCCTCCCCTCATTGGCTCTTTGACCTTGGTAGAGTTACTTAACTTCTTTGCACTTCAGTTTTCTCTGGGAATTGAAGTGCTTTAGTGACTACCAAGGTTTGTTTTGGCTCTAACATGGTGTGATCTTTTATGAAATGGAAATTTAATATTTTTGGCCTCGGTAACTTTATTCATAACACAAATATTAAAAAGACAAAATTAAATCTCATGCTCTTATGAGTTTCCATTTATTCCATGGAACTAATCATTTGGAATAAATCATTTTGGAAGAGCTGTTTGATCCAGGTATTCAGTAGAAGTCACTAACACAGCATTTCATTTTTGGACAAAACTCAGAATTCATTAAACCACCATTGCTACAAACAATATGAGATTCCCATTTAATCTTAATGCAGATAACTCAGTTAATTAAAGCAAATCTGGTTGTACTTTATTACAGTTAGAAAACCGAAACTGCATTGAAATGATCCATACAACGCTTACATTAAACCACCATTGCTACAAACAATATGAGATTCCCATTTAATCTTAATGCAGATAACTCAGTTAATTAAAGCAAATCTGGTTGTACTTTATTACAGTTAGAAAACCGAAACTGCATTGAAATGATCCATACAACGCTTCGTTGACTTTTCTTAGAGGACTTCCTCTCAGGAAGCCCAAAGGCCTTGTTTGCTGGACAGGTTCTCTCTTATCAAATGTGTTCCTCCCTATCTGTTGGCAGAGCTCCGCATCAGGAGACAGCATTCCTCCGAAAGTGTTTCCAGTATCAACAGTGCCACGAGCCATTCCAGCATTGGCAGTGGTAACGATGCTGACTCCAAGAAAAAGAAAAAGAAAAACTGGGTAAGCCACCACCTCCCATCTAATCCTGAAGCTCATTATTGCACAGTGAGTCAGGCTTTCTCCTTCTGGGCATCAGAGATCTGCAGCTGTTTGCAGAGAGTCTCATCCAAGTGAGTGGCACCTCAGATACCGCACTCATTGCCAAAATGAGGGTGGCACGGAGCTGGAGAGCACGTTTTAGAGTTGGGACAAATCTTGCGTTTGAATTCCAGCTCTGTCACTCAGTGCTTGGATCCTGGGTGGGTTACTTCACCTTCTCTGGAAGGGGTGAGGAGGCAGGGGCGCTAAACTTCTCATCTGTAAAAATTGAGTAATTAATGCTAACTTTATAGAGTTGTACAGATAAGATAATATTTGTTAATAAAGGGCTTAGAGCAGGGGTTTATGCAGAACAAAAAGATATGATAATGGTGATGGTGTGGTGGTGATGGCAGTAAAGTGGAGGAAGTTAGGAAGAAATGAGTTAAAGGGAAAGAAGAGACCTTGAGAGCTTCCCACCCCCTCACATCAAGGGGGTTTACAGTGTGAGTAAAACTCCACCTCATAAGAAATCAACTAGATTAGTGTTGGCTGTATTTTTTTTAACCAAGAGATTACAGCAGAAATATAGAAATGTACTTTAATGGAATTATGCTTTAAGTTTGCTAAAAATATAGTCTATTATAATATGAAGCAATTGCATGAAAAAAAATGAAGGACGATGCTATCGCTGCAACATTTTAAAAAACAATGAAGCAAAAAATTCATTTTAATACCATGAAACAAAGGTAGATTTTAAATAAGTAGAACTCTTGATGAAATGCAAAACACAGCTATCAGAGGATTTTACCAGAGTGCCTTCTATAAATAATGAAATAAATATTTTTTTGTTTTAAAAAAATGTTTATACAGGTAATATTTTAACATACTGATCAGCCTTCATTCCCTTGATTTGTAATTCCACACTCTTTCATGTTTCTGCAAGGTGAACTCTAGAGGAAGTGAGGTGAATATAAACCATGGACAATTTGGCATGCATCTCTAAAAAATACCCTACCTTGGCATGAATGCTATTCATTTTGGCAGTAGGCTTTTATACCTTTTAAAAACAGATTACCTTGTATGTCTTTTCTTTGTCTTTTTTCATTTTAATCTCAAATTTTAAAGAGAAGTAAAACCACTTTCTGAACAGAGCGGTAGGGGATGCCAATTCTGCTTTTGAATAGTACGGGAATTGAACATTTGAATGGAAAATCACAATTAATGAAGTGTTAGGTGAATTTTATTTCATTTTGCTTTTTAAGTTCACACTGTCAGCAGGACATGACTTGATTGCAGCGCTAAAGTGGCCGTTTAAAACAAACTGCCTTGAAGAGAGGGGCGTTGGATGTGGAGATCCCTTCAAGGCACTTGGTTTTAAAGGAGCGCTCTGGCAGCCATCCCTTGACCCTGCGCTGTTTAAAAAAGCCTTCCATGTTTGCGCTGCGCTGGATTAATACAAGAGTAAAACAAAGACACAGAACCCGGTATCGTTTTAGAGACACTGCTGCGACTGTTAATACTCCGCTTGTACTACTGACCCAGGCAGTGGCTAGGACGGCGCCTGCGCACTAACGCCCCGAAGCAGTGCCCCCTGTGCCAACAGACGGGAAAGGTAATTTCTGCCCTCCTTTCAGCTGAGAAGCTCCTTCAAGCAAGCCTTCGGCAAGAAGAAGTCCACCAAGCCTCCTTCCTCCCATTCGGACATTGAGGAGCTCACCGACTCGTCGCTGCCCGCGTCCCCCAAGCTGCCCCACCGCGCGGGCGACTGCGGCGCGGCCGCCCTGAAGCCCTCGCAGTCGGCCTCGGCGTGAGTCCCCCGACAGGGTCTTTGGGGGCGGCTTCGGGCCGTGCCCGCGCTCTATTCCGCATGGAGTCAGGTTGTGTTTTCGCAGCTGCCACGCCATCCGTACCGTCCGTCCTCTCCAGACCTTCCTTTGACGGCTGGATGGCTTTGGGTTCTCGTTCATTTTTCGTGTATTGGAAGTTGAACGTTTCTTGATCTCGTTCTCCACTTTTCTGAGTCATAATCCTCACTTCTTTCCACTTGCATTTGTCCATGTACCTACCTAACTGTGCAGGTCACCCCTTGTCTGGCCACCAAAGAAACGGCAAAATGGCCCTGTGATCTACAAGCACAGATCCCGGTAAAGTGGAGTGTGATGCATGAGAACTGCAGGACGCAGGCTCTAACCGCAGCAGTTGTTTGCTTCCGCCTTTTCTAAAACGACCCGCATGCATTTCAACAATAAAAACCTCTTTTGTCTGTTTCTGAAGTAAAATTTGGTTTTCTAAAATCAAGCTGCAACCCAGGTTTCTCTAATCCTATTAGGTAACCTAGCATAGCGTTTGATGGTAGCTCACTATTTAATGTTCGAGAGAAAATAAAACTTCTAGAATGTAGAAACATGTACTCTGATGCAATCACTCCTTTGCATGCCCCTGACAACGAGCCTAGAACTGTCAAATGGACACTAATAGGACCATTTGAGACACTTGTACATCCTATATAATTTCACGACTTATATAGGAAGGAAGAACGAAGCACTATTATTTTGTGACCAACAACCTAGTCCTCACATTTTAAATGGAAAAGATATTAGGTAGAGTAAAAGAAATTATTTTGATATGTTTCCTACAAGCCTATCCACAAAACAACAACAAAAATAAGGATATAATCTATATGACCTTCAAACATCCCTCAACTAGCCTGCTTGTATGAGTTGGAAACTGTCATTTAGCTTCATTAGCTTTGATCTCCTGACTCAGCTGAGCCTACCAGGAGGATTATACAACTCTCATCCATTATTTAAATGTCCAAAACTGATCTCTCTGATTTATTTCCTACAATGTTTATATTGACTTTTCATGGTAACTTGAAGACAGTGTTGTGGCAAATGTTATTCTTTACACAGTTTTACAGAAGAAAAAAATCAGCATTTAAAGGACATCATAACTTAACTTTTAAAAAAAGAGTATTTCCACTGTTGCAAATAGAGATTTAAATCCCTCACAAAAATAGCAGAATAAGTAGTGATACTATTACCCTTCTGTCCCATGAATATAAGCAACAAGCAAATTTTGAGGATCATTTTTTATTCTGTAATAGGAGATTATTTTTGAACTTCAGAAAATAGGAAGAAAAGATTTAAAGGAAGAGTAGCTATTTTCAGTTTGAACTTATGAATGTATTATTATTTGTAAAATTCTTTCTCCTTTTCTCTAAGGTTTTGCCAACAGCAAATAACTTCTGCACCTGCTGGATAATACTGCAGTTGCAGTGCAGTCTTTAAAAGAAACATTGCTTTTCCTGATCCTTGGGCCTCCCCAACCACTGATTTTGTGTTTTTTTCCTTCTTCAGAATCTGTGAATGCACAGAGGCTGAGGCAGAGATAATTCTGCAGCTGAAGAGCGAGCTCAGAGAAAAGGAATTAAAATTAACAGATATTCGGCTGGAGGCCCTCAGTTCTGCTCACCATCTTGACCAGATCCGGGAAGCCATGAACCGGATGCAGGTCAGTGCCAAAACACCTTCAAAAAGCAAACAGGAGAGATTAGAAATGCTGCCTATTTTCTTCTTGGTTATGATAAAAACAAATTTCACCTTGAAACCTACTGTGGAAATGTACTCTGTTTATTCAGTCTTTGCAACTCATACTTAATACCAGATGGAGAATTTTGTCAAATCCAGGGTTGGAAGTGGGAGTGCGAATGGGTCAGTCACACTCAGAGACCATGCCAGACGCTTGTCCGAGGGATAGAATTCCCTTGAGAGCTGTTTTTAGAGAAGCTGCTACAATCCTGGCTGTTTCCCTTTTCCATGATTTACCTTCATGTTGTCTTTTTTCCTGTTCTTTTGCAATCTGACTTTGAATTACCTTTACCTATTTTCTACTGAAAAACAAAGTAATGAGGAAACTACAGAAATTTAACACAAGCTTTCTAAATATGAAAGTGCAAGTGATATAGAATGCCATCTGTAAAAGTAAATTTTTTTGTATTTTGGGGAAGCATCTGAAGGCTAAATTCAGAACCAGTCTGTGCTCAGACTAAGTTTTCATTTTATTATGGTAAACCAGCAGTCACTTGCTACCACAGATGACGGAAGTAAGAAAAGCTCGTTGCTGAGCAGATTCATCTGCCACCATGTATACTCATCAAAAGGCTTTTGTTGTTTTCTGAGCTTAGTGCCCCATTTTTGAAGGAACGAAAACTTTGTCAGATGTTAGCTAGGATTCTGAGGTAATTTTAAACCATATTATTTGTATTGTTTTTGTTTTACTCTGGTTTTAAACTCTCCATGAATTAAATATGGCATTATTTGCCTTTGAGATTTTAACAGTACTTTAAAAATGAATAATGTTAAGAACTCTTCAATTATATTACACTTATTTCAAATGAGAACAAGTTCTGGAAACCTTCTCAAACATATATCTAAAAATAAGTATAAAAAATTCCCATGTTGATTGTGCCTGTGTTTTGTAAATACATGAAAATATGTATGTGAGAGAAACCTAACCTTCGGACAGTGTCTGCCACGGTCTATGAGTGTGACTGAAAATATGTATGTATAAAGAAAAGGTTAAGTTTCCTTTTTTGGAAAGAAATCCTGTTCTCATAATTTATATTGTTTATTTCATACATCACCACATGTTTTGTTTAATAAACAAAATAATGAACTCTGGATAAAAAAGTTGGTACCATTTTTCTCACTCAAACAATCCAAACATGGATGTTTTTTCATGTTTTCCATCTTCCTGACAGAACGAAATTGAAATACTGAAGGCTGAAAATGACCGTTTGAAGGCAGAGACTGGTAACACAGCTAAGCCAGCTCGGCCACCATCAGAGTCCTCAGGCAGCACTTCCTCCTCACCCTCTCGGCAGTCTTTGGGACTTTCTCTCAACAATCTGAACATCACAGAGTCTGTTACCTCAGGTAATTTGGCACACCTGCCTGTGAACCCAAGCATGCCTATAACCTAATCGGGGGATGCCAGGGGCCCTCGAGTCTGGAGAATCTTAGCCACCACTGCTTTCACCCATACTCTCTTCACAATGCTAACACTCTCTTTCTCAGAAATAGCCCTCTTCTCTTAAAAATGTATTCTAAATGTTACTAAAAGAACATTTTCTGAGAAAGAGTGACAGACTTAGAGATACGGTTTTTGTAACTTCTTAAAACATTACTTGTGCTTGAGAAGTTCTTCCTCCATGATAACAAATGAAGACGTAATATTCTCAGTGATGACCACTAGTACTCATGCAATTTTATAGTGTTTCAAATGTACGGTCCCATTTACACGTGTATCAGGACCCATCCCTAAATGTGACTCAGTGGTCCTGCATGTTTCCCAGAGACCAGAGAGAACATACTGCCCCTGCATCACCCAGTCTGCAGTTCTATTAAATTTTTAACAAACAAAATGAACACACTTGACTGTTATTATATTCAGTGGTATACTAATGATGGAACAGGGGTATGGTTTTATTCAATTGCGAATAGAATCGTATGACATAATGTTGTCTTAGTATCTGATTAGTGTTCAATTGTAAGTATAGCTGCTCCCACGGTTTTGAATCATTTTAGGTATATAAGATTTAGTTAAGGGAAGATTTACGGAAGGCTCTGTGGTAATTACAAGGCATAGCCACCAGATGACGCTAGGAAACCAATAATACACATGTTACTGGTAACTAGATTCCGTTATAAAATACGAAACTTCACAGCTTGCCTTAAGCTACGCTAAAATATGATGATGAAGATGAAAATGAAGAAGAGAAAGAGACACAGCATGCTAATATTGATGACATTTTAATAAATTACATCTATTCTAAAAAAGTCGAAAATTATAAATTCTACTATTATATCTGTCTTTCATAATGTGAAATGAATGGACCAAATGTATACTTGCTTTCTTCTTATAAAAGACAAGTAGGAACTCCCTGAAACTCAGTAAAATAATGTTTATAACATTTAACAGGGTTTGGGGAGGGAAATGAGTTCTGAGAATAAGCATCAAGTAAAACAAGTATTAGTAGCTAAGAAAAAACAGAGAGATCATCATTAAAAAAACATGAATTATTAGGTAAAATAAAACTATGAAAATATGGTAAAAACTTGAATGTGTAAATTGTCTAAGGTGTACCATCTCCACTCTTCAAAAGATGCTGTAAGAAAAAAAAATTCTTTAAATGTATGAAGTCTGAGACTCGTAAGCGATAACCTGTATCTTGGCTTGTCGGCGATGAACCTGGTAATGCAATGTGGTGCGAGCCCCTAAGGGGGGCCTGACTGTCCTGGGCATGACGCCTGAGAAAGGACAAGGCCTGGGGCATCTTGCAGGATGGCTTAATAGAAGGATTTTACTGCTTGTTATATGATTTTGTTTTATCTTACGAAAATATGATAAGGTTTGAAGGAGGCAAGGCTGGTACTGAAGGTAGTGTAGAAACAACAGCCAAATAAAGATGAAACTAAAATTCGTATCTAGGAAAGACTAGAACTCATAAAGATAAACATAAAATCAAAGAAATCAAATTTACCATTTCTGTGTTCATTGGCCTGAACATACTGATGGCCGTTATTCAGAATTTAGGCAACTGGGGGGTAGAGAGGGGGTGATTTTTTTTTCCAAAAATGTACTTTTTAATTACTCATCTCATCATTTATTTTTAGTTGTTTATTACTTTATTTCCTTAATTATTTTTCAATACTAATGCTTGTGTCCAAACTAACAAAAAAAGTTTACATGACTAGGATGCTGCTTTTATTGCTTTCACTCTGTTTAGTGGGTTCAAAATTAGTAATCAAAAGTGCCTTTGTGCTGGGGCTTTTTGAAGGATAACTTTTAGGTTTCATGATTATTTCTTAAAAGGGGAAAGAAGTAAGCAAGAGAGGATAATTGAAAAATGTCCAGTTCCTAAAACATCATGTCCCGTACATCCACTAAAGACAGAAGTTTGAAAAGCCTTCAGTTTTTTGTTAGAATTTCACATGAATATAACCAGAATGGCAAATCTTATTACTGTCCCTTAAAATGTTGGCATAGGACCATAACTTAATTTCCTTAATAAAACCACAAAGAACGCTTACCTCACACTGGCTGTTTTTCCTTTTTCCTTGGAGTTCTTTCTTCAGGTGATCATCCTGTGAATGTACTGGAAACAGACCCAGAGTGAGTCGTAATGCAGGGGTCCCACTGGTAATAGGAGTAGAACACGCAGAGAAAAGGAATAATGAATGGTTAGAACAGCTGATCCTACTAGAACACTGAGGATGAATGCCTATTTCCCCTGAGGCTCTCAGGAACCCTATGAAGCAGATGCCGTATGAAGCTCTTTTTACAAATGAGGAAACCAAGACTTAGCAAAGTGACTACAATAATTGTTTCAAGATCGTGCAACTAGTGAATGGCAGTGTTAATATTTAAACCCAGGTCTGGATGAGTACAGCTCCTGAACTTTTAACTATTATATTAATTTCCTGTAAGTTGCCACATATGCAAAAACCAAGAATAACCATTCATTCACTTATTGGTAAATATCCACCCCACTGCTGTCAGGAGATACTTTAAGTACAGTTTTTGAGAGTAAACATGCCATGAAATGAGTAACATGTTTTAAGGCAAACTTGAGCAGATAAGAGGTTCAGAAATCAGATTAAACTCCTTGCAATGGATGCCTAGGCTCTACATGATCTGGCCCGTACCTACTTCAACCTCGCTGTATACTGCTCCGCTTTCTCCCCTTGTTCTCCACGCTCCTGACACCATATCTGTTCCTTGAACACAACTAGGTCTTTCATCAAGTCTTTTGCATTTGTTCTTGTTGACCAGCCTCTTTTCCTGGGTCTTCATTTCCTTGCATAGCACTTATCAGCCTCCTGCTCTTAATCTCTAAATACCACCTCCACAAGGAAGCCTTCTGGGATGACCTGTCTAGAGCAGGGTCCCTGCATTTCCTCCGTTTCAGTGCCCTGTGCCCTTTATTTCTTGCATCTAACACATTCTGAAATTACTTTGTTGAGACTGCATATTCCAAAGGAGCAGGGAATTCATTTTTCTTCTCGTCTCGGTTTTTACTCCTAAAGCTCAACACAGTTCCTGGTATCTTTTATGCTTAATAAATACTGCTGAATATTTATGAACATTCATGAATAATTGAACAAAGTACTAAAAGGTAATTTGGTCATGAACTACAAGAAATTTAGATGTGAACAACTATCAGCAAGCCACTCTAAACTTCTGAGAAAAGGAGAAAGAGAATTAAAATGACACTTAAGGAAGAGTTTTATCTTTGACTGGGATAGGCAAAAGGTGAGACACTGTGAGGATGTTAATCTGGTAAAATAATTAAATCCCAGTAAGGGAGATTCTCTTTGACAATTTAAAATATTCTAGTAAAAAATCTTCATATTCCTCAAAGTCTGAATGTTGTTTTTTTTTATTGTTATGGTCTTAAGGCATTTTTTTAACTCCTTCCTTTGCAGAATTGCATATTCCTAATTATCAAGATAATAGAATCATTCCATTTTCAGAAGCCATTTGATTAAATTATTATTTCTATAATGGTACTGTCACAGCCCCTGTCTCTATAAATTTACAGTCAGAGCAGTTGGGTCCTCATGTTATCAGGGAAATGTGCTCTTCCGCATGTAACTGAGTGTCCTTTGTCCACAAAACACTATCTTCAGATTAAACTGGCTCTATAATAGTATCATTGTCAAATGAAAGTATGTATTTGGTATAGTTTGCCTAATAATGATCAAAACTGGGCATGAATCTCATAATGTATTTTGAAAAGTAATCTTTAATCACATTTAAAGAGTGGTTTTTTAAAGGTTAGCTAGCTTTATCATGCTTCTGTAAGTCTTAACTGATTTCTAGAAATGCTATTTTGGTTTTGAAACTCTAAGCCTAAAGGGTCCAGGAGAGTAATAATTAAAATATTTCTGTAGGGAAGTATGCCATGGGTGAAATTTAGTAACAGTACTTAGTTATAGATATAAGGTAAGCAGTAATATAGCATGATATGTGCCAAATGCTTGAAAATAATTTCAGTTGACAGTCAATCTCAGCACCTTTGCATTCATAAATTACCTGGGTGTAAAGCCTGGATATTTTAAGTTGCATAGAAAAATGAAATTGCTTTTCTGTGTGTCATGGTTATAACTGTAGCTGACTATTACTCAAGTGTTATTCAGACCTTGCATAATAGAAAAATAAACCCCTTATTTCCTCATCTTGAGGCAATAAACCAACACTTGGGTGAAGGTCTCTGGAAGCAGAAGTAAGTTCTTAGATTGAAACTTTAACCCAACCCCAGTAATTTATCTTTGGAAAGATGAGGTTTTTCAAACTTGTTAGGCTAGAATGGGAAGAAAGAAGGCTAAACATTCCCATTGAAAGATACAACACCATGAGGGAGAAAAAAATTCAGTACACAAATTCTAGCTAATTGGACTCTATTGTGTGTATCTTTGAAAATTTGGTAGATATTTTGCTAGATGATGCCGGTGACACAGCTGGACATAAAGATGGCCGCAGTGTGAAGATCATAGTCTCCATAAGCAAGGGCTACGGTCGAGCAAAGGTATTTCTTTAATCTTAAATTCTTTATTACTAAGGATAATAATAGCCATGAATCAGTTGAATTTTATATTTGAATATTTGTCCTAATATCCTATCGGCATTGTTTGTCTTGGCATTTGCATAATATGTTCAATAGTAGGGACTTAAAAGAAACGACTTCATATAGGTAGAAATACGTGTCAGTAGAACATGTTCATCCACTGAAAATAATATCATTACCAGCCACCCTCATTTCTAAAACTTAATAAAAAAAAGACGTCGCTTTCTTTGACATAAACATCTCATCTAACATATTCTTTGAGTGTCACGTGTAGAATACAGGGGATATGATGTGTAGTAACATGTTGCTAGAGTTGACAATTCAGTCTTTGAACAAAGAGAGGGTGTAATTTGAATATTCTAGACAATGAAAAGACATATGCTACTGAGCTCAGTATGACAAGTTCCATTGAGGCTACCTGTGTGTATCGTTTGAAAGTGTTAGCCAAGGCAAGTACTTTAATTTTTCTGGAATCAAATGCTGCCTTCAAATTAGCAATGCCATTCTGACTCTGGCCCTTTCTTATAACTGAAAATATTATTTCAAGCTGAATTTATAGTTGAGTGAGCAAGAATATAAATCTGAGTATTAAGAGATTTTTCTGTCAAAAAAGTCCTTTAGACTTTTTAAATATTTGAAGAATTTGTTTGGAGAGTGAGATAGCTATTGTGAATTTTTACACTGAGCAAATAATATTCCAAGAAATTCAACACCATAAGCTTTCAGCTTGAGTTGCAGATTTGTGCCTGATTTTCCAAGTGGGTCTTTATGAGAAAGACTGTAATAGTCTCAGCAAAGCTTAAAACTATCTCTAATTTAAAAGCAGCTGCTTAGGCAGCATTGTGTGAGTGTCTGTTTTGATTGGGTTACAAACAATAACACTAGAAAACAAGTGTTCTTTTTCAAAATAATTCTAAAAGGTGTTTTTGAACATTGAAAGCAGTTTTCTTCATCTTCTTGGGCTGCCATTACGAAATACAATAGATTGGGTAACTGAAACAACAGAAATTTACTTTCTCACAGTTATGAAGTCTCAGATCAAGGTGACAGTTGATTGGTTCCTGGTGAGGGCTCTCTCCTTGGGTTGTAGGCAACTGCCTTCCTGCTCTGTCCTCACGTGGCCTTTCCTGGGTATGTGTATCTGGGGAGAGAGAGATTCCTCTTTCTTTCCTCCCCTACTTATAAAGCCACTAATTTCATCATGAGAGTCCCACTCTAATAACTTAATCTAACTCTAATTATCTCCTAAAGGCCCCATTTCCAAATGCCATCATATTGAGGGTTGTGGTTTTAATCTCTGGATTTTGGAAAGATACAAGCATTCGGTCCACAACAGTAGCAAAAAAAAAAATCACAATGGTTTTGCTATGAATTCCTCAACTTTTTCTGAAAAAGGTAATGGCTTCTAATCAGATTATATCTAAATGACGGTGATTATCATTTATTCTTATAGAGTTAAATATTACAGATAAAGAAATTGAGGCTCTAAGACAGTTAAGTGACTTACCTGGGGTCACATTTTTTATTAGGAAGTAGACATCGTGTGTTGTATAATCCAAATCTTCTGATACCTGACTTAGTTGTTATTCTACCACCTCTTAAAGACCACGCAGTTGGTGACTAGAACCAGGATTGTAATTATTTGTTTTGCCAAAGGATTCTTTGCTGTACAAAATGAGTCCCATATAGGATTCCCTGGCAAGTTCTTTTAAGTAGTGAATTTTCTGATAAATTCAAAATGGAACCTGTTTTGTAAATAAGTAATACCATACTACCATGGATAACTTGTTCTTTAAAGCTGGATTGGATTTTAGAGATAGGTTTAAATAAATAAGTGAAAAAACTGAATTTGGGGCAATAATGTTCAGATCACAAAAATAGTAAAATGAAGTTCTTAGGACTCTACTCCATGTCTATCACCATTCATCTCCTGCAAAGCTGCTCCTCTTCAGGAAAGCCCCCCCCCTGCATTAAAATGGCAGACTATTCCCACCTAGCCCTTTCTCCCCTGCTCCACTTCATCTAATCTCTTGTGTTTTCACTGGCATTTCTGTTGATATTACTGTTTATTTGGTTGGTTGGTCGGTTAGTTTGTTGGGGTATGTTTTGTTTTATATAGTCCACTGTGTGTGTTTATTCCTATAAAACCCATAGGCTTAATAAATAGTTTAGCCTTAATCACTACTACATTAGTACATTTTAGCAGAAAATGTAGTAACAATGAAGACACATAGGAGGATTTCATCTTGTTTTATTTTGTTTTTATTTAGGATCAGAAATCTCAGGCATATTTGATAGGATCCATTGGTGTTAGTGGAAAAACCAAGTGGGATGTCTTAGATGGTGTAATTAGACGTCTCTTTAAGGTAAGTTGTGCAACTTATCCTGATACTGATTTTAAATGTTTCATTTTAGATGCTTCCCTTAGCTTTAATAGCATAAACCTGTCTGTGTTTGTCTCCTCCATTTCAAATATTATGGAAAGCTTTCTCTGTTTGTGCCGTTTGGTGACAGTCATTCTTATATTACCCATTCGAAAATTCTTGACAGCTAGCTTCATGTCCCCATGAATTTTGTATTTGTTGTAGATGAGTTGAACCTCTGTTTTGACTTTCCTTTTTATGTGTATCATTTTAGGAATATGTATTCCGAATTGATACATCCACTAGCCTTGGTCTGACCTCTGACTGTATTGTTAGCTACTGTATAGGGGATTTAATTAGATCCCATAGCCTAGAAGTGCCTGAACTGCTGCCTTGCGGATACCTTGTTGGAGATAATAACATCATCACTGTGAACCTGAAAGGTAAAAATGTAAAAGAAAGGACACTTGTATTTTCTTAGCAATAGTTCTTTTCTTTCTTCTTCCTTTCCCTTCTCTTTTTTTTTTTTTGCAGTTTTCCTTCAAATTGTCATATTCAGAAACTATGTTAACTACTTTGAATGTTTTGGTATAAAATAAGCCATATTTATTTTTAAAACACTAAAATCCTTCTAAAAACACTGAAATACAAGTAAATGGAATTCTTTGAGTTCTGGGACGTAAAACTTAAAATGTAATTTTGAAGTTTCTCCAAGACTCACAAAAAAGGAACATGATTTAGGGACTTTTAAATGTCTAGCATTTCTACATTATTATCTTTCATTTAGAGGGGATTCAAAAAGTATATTGTATATTACAAAATAATATATTCACTGTATCTTTGACTCTACAATATGTGTGCCCAATAAATATTCACTGGTGATAGAGAATAGAAGTTAACAATCACGAATAAGAATGCTGTTTGCTTTGGATGGTGTGATTAGTTATAGGCAAATGAAATATCTAAAGTGTACTTGTCTCCAGAATTCCTTGTTCATATATGTTAAAGAATCTGAACACATCTATATAAACTCTGGATAAAGAGAGGAATCTGTCAATATTTGATTTTATGATTTCGCTAATTGGGGTTAGTAAAGAGAGGTACTGTTGCACTCCTTAATTCCTTGCTAAATATCACAATTTGTATTCTTCAAAAGCTTAAGTGGATGTACAGCTGGGATATGTGAAGAAAGACAAATAAAAAAAGAAGAAAGAGGAATAAAAATGGAAACATACACAAATATATATTTTGTAATCTTTACATTAATTCTTAACAAAGCTACCATCTTCAAAGGGAAGATTTTTTTGGTATAACTTATAGTAATGCTTCCATTTCTCTCTGGAAACATAAGTGGGAAGCATGAAGTAGACAGTGGAGGGAAGCCTGAACAAAAGGAAATGGCTTGCTTTCATTTAGATGTTCCCGCTGCCTTATTACTGATGTTTTCTGTCTTAAATGGCAACACATGTTTGTGGGGTAGAAATATCAAGGAAGTATTTTTGCAAGGATTGAAGAATTCCTATGACTAACTGTTGTCATTTCATAATATACTTTAAATTCCAGCTTATGTAAAATAATAAGGCATGCTGTTCCCTTTGTTTCTTCATTCAGGGGTGGAAGAAAACAGTTTGGACAGTTTTGTTTTTGATACGCTAATTCCTAAACCAATTACCCAAAGGTACTTTAACTTGTTGATGGAGCATCACAGAATTATACTCTCAGGACCTAGTGGTACTGGAAAGACCTATTTAGCAAACAAACTTGCTGAATATGTAATAACCAAATCTGGGAGGAAAAAAACAGAGGGTGCAATTGCCACTTTCAATGTGGACCACAAGTCAAGTAAGGTAAGTCACAGATTCCTAAGAGAAGTACTACCATTTCTCCATAAGTGTCTTAAGCAATTAAGCTTTAAGATTGTGTGAAATTTTCATATTGCACATGGAAACATATCCATCTCTCTGACTATACCTAGACTCTGGTAGATGACTAAACCCTGTTACATGAATTTAAACAAGACTGCTATTCAGTAACATTCAATTATCAATTACTTCACAAACATTGGGAATGGACAGAAGAAGATGACAGTTCCTATTATCTTATTTCTCATAGATATCCATTTAGGAATTGTTAAAGTAGAAAGCTAGACCTATGCAGAGTGCTATAGGAGTAGGAGGAAAGATCAGCTCTTCCTAGAGGAATCAGAGCTTTATGAAAAGTCAATAATTGGTCTCAGTCTTCATAAATAGGAATTAACTACATTGTTACAGCAATGGGATTTGGGTATAATTCAAATATTTCAGGTAGAAATTCTGGGAGTAGCAATTTACTTCCATCATATTTCTAGAGGATTTCTTCTTAGGAACCTTAGGAGATTGAACACTATTCCATTTCACCATCAGCTAAGTTCCAGTGTATCATAATAATCAGCCTGAACATGCTTAACTATTAAATAGACACAAAGGGCTATAAAACCTAGCCAGTGCTTTCATATGTTCTGGGTAAAATACAGAATCCTAAAAAGGAAACAATTGATGCCTGACACTCCTAATGGGAGACTATTTTTTCCTGTAACTATTTATTATGCTCTTAATCAATTCAACATACTGTTCTCTTAAGAAACTGTTATAAGCACTACCTTGGCGGAATCCAGGGAATACTGGGTCATTTTATTTTTACAAAGATATCCTCTGTAGATGATATAATGTGACCCAGTCTCTCAGAAACCTCAGGCCTTCAAGTTTTCAGTAATAAACATGACTCTCAAAAGCAACCCAAACTCACTGAATTCTTGAAATAAGTGAACATAAAGTTCTTAATGGTATAAGCAACTATAATCAACAAACTGGACAACCAAAAGAAATGGAAAAACTCTTAAAAATATTCAACTCACCAAGACCAAATCAGGAAGAAATAGAAATATGAACAAACCAATTACTAGGAAGGAGGTCAAATCAGTTTTAAAAAAAATCTCCCAATAAAGAAATGTCAAGAACTGGGTGGCTTCACTGGTGAATTTTACCAAACATTTAAGGAAAAATAACACCAATCTTTCAAAAAAAAATTAAAGAGGAGGGAACACTCCTGGACTGATTTTATAGGGCCATCGTTATCCTGATTCTGAAACCAGAAAACAACATTACTAGAAACAAAAACTACAGAACAATATCCCTGATGAACATACTTGCAAAAATTCTCAATAAAATAATTAATTAGCAAGTCAAATTCAGTATCATATTAAAAGGGTAATTCACCACAATCAAATGGAATTTATTGCTGGGATACTTCAAGGATGTAGATACTTCAAGGATGTAGTAGACAAGGATGGTTCAACATACACAAATGAATCAGTGTGGTACAACACGTGAATAGAATGAATGAAAGGAATCATGTGATCATCTCAATAGATGCAGAAAGAAGCATTTGACAAAATTCAAAATCCATTCATCATAAACATTCTTAAGAAATTAGGCACGGAAGGAAATTTTTCAACATAATAAAGGCCTATATATATATATTAAGCCTATAGCTAACATCATGCTCAATTATGAAAGACTGAAACAAGGTTAGAACAAGACAAGGAAGCCCACTCTCATGCACCTATTTAAGATAATACTGGAAATCCTACCTAGAACAACTAAGGAAATGAAAGAAAAAGTATCAGAATTGGAAAGGAAAGAGAAAAATCATCTGTTATCAGATAGCATGATTTGATATATAGAAAATCCTAAACACTTCAAACAAAACTATTAGATCTAATCAATTACTTCAGTGAAGTTGCAAGATACAAATTTAATATACAAAAAGTCAGCATTTCTATACATTAACAATGAATTTTCTAAAAACAGGAATTAAGAAATTATTGCATGTCCAATAGCATCAAAAACAATAAAATACTTAGGAATTTAATTTAACTAAGGAAGTGAAAGATCTCTACTCTGAAAACTACAACATTGTTGAAATAAATTACAAATAAATGGGGAGGTATCCTGTGTTCATGGATTAGAAGAATTAATATTGTTAAAATGTCAGTTCTATCAAAGGCTATCTACAGATTCAATGCAACCCCTATCAAGATTCCAGTGGCATTTTTACAGAAGTAACAAGAAAAACTCTCCTAAGTTTGAATACACTGGAAAAGATCCAAACAGCCAGTGAAATCCTGAGAAAGGTGAACAAATCAGGAGGCATCACACTTGCTGATTTCAAGTAATACTATACAGCTATTGTCTTCAAAACACTGCAGTACTGACATAAAACAGACCAAAGGACCAATGGAAAAGAATCGGGAGCCCAGAAATAAACCTAAGCCAATGTAATCAACTAGTATTTGAGAAGGGAACCAAAAATACTCAACGGAGAAAAGACAGTCCCTTCAATGAATAGTACTGTGTTCATTGGATATTCACTTATGAATGAATGTAACTGGACCCATATCTTATACTACTCACAAAATAAAAAAATAACTCAAAATGCTTAAAGACTTAAATGTTGTATCTGAAACAATGAACTAGAAGAAAACAGGAACAAAATTCCTTCACATGGGTCTTGGTAATGATTTTGGGGACATAGCACCTAAAGCACAAAATCAAAAAACAAAACAAAACAAGGGACAACATCAAAAAAAGCTACACAGCAAAAGAAACCATCAACAAAGTGAAAAGACAGCCTATGAAAAGGGAAAAAAATATTTGCAAACTATGTATCTGGTAAGGGGTTAATAACCAAAATACATAAAGAATTCATACAACCTAATAGCAACAAATAAATAGATAGATAGATAAATAGATAGATGATAAATAGATAGATAGATAGATAGATAGATAGATAGATAGATAGATAGATAACCCAATGAGAAAAAGGGGCAAAGGATGTGGATAGACATTTCTCCAAAGAAGCTATAAGGAAGGCCAATATGTACATGAAAAAATGTTCAACATCACTAGTCATCAAGGAAATGCAAATTAAAACCACAATGAGACACCACCTCATACCTTTTAGAATGGCCATCATCAAAAAGACAAGAGATAACAAATGCTGACATGCGTGTAGAGAAGAGGGAGCCCTTGTGTACTGTTGGGATTGTAAATGGGTACAACTACTATGGAAAACAGTATGGAAGATCCTCAGAAAATTAAAAATAGAACTACTATGTGATCCAGCAATTACCCTTCTAGGAATATAACGAAAGGAAATGAAAACACTAATTTGAAAAGATATCTATGCCCCCATGTTCATAGCGTCTTATTTACAATAACTAAGACGTGGGAAACAACTTGTGTGTATTGGTGGATGAATGGGTATAGAAGCTGTGGTATATAAACAGCAGATTATGATTCAGCCATAGGAAAATGACAAAATCCTGCCATTTGTGACATGAGTAGAACTTGAAGGCATTAAGCTAAGTGAAAGAAGTCAGACAAAGAAAAATAAATACTTTATATCACTAATGTGTGAAACAGAAAAAAAAACTCATAGAAAAAGACATCAGACTTGTGGTCATCAATGACAGAGCGTAAAGGGAGGTGGAATTGGAGGTAAGTTGTCAAAAGGTACAACTTCCAGTTATAAGAAAAATAACTGCTAGGGATGCAGTGTACCGCATGGTGACAATACCGATATATGATGTACAGGGAAGTTGTTAAGAAATTAAATTGTAAGAATTCTCATCACAAGGAGAAAATTTCTTTTCCTTCTTCTTTCTCTTCTTTATAATGTATCTATATTAGAAAATGGATGTTAGCTGAACCTATTGTGATGATCATTTCACAATATATGTAAATCAAACCATCATGCTGGTATGCTTAAACTTATACAGGGATGTATGTCAATTATTTTTTAATAAAATTGGGGGAGGTGGAGTTCATGGACTAGTTCATCAAGGTCCCTACCACTGACCAACTGTGGGATCTAAGTCATCGCTAATTTCTTGGTGCCTTAGTCTTCCCATTTGTAAAATGGGAAGAGGAGTAGGGTTGTGGTAAGGACTGAATGACTGTGTGTGTGCGAATGTAGGTGAGAGAGAGAGAGACAGTTTGAGAAGAAGGAGAAAGGGATACAAGGAGGGAGGAAAGGGGAAACGACAGCGTAAGGGTCTCCCGCAGCTATTAATTAGAGCCCTTGGCCCCCCAGTGAAGGTTGCTTCACAAACATACGAGACCCACACAGATCCCCACCACCCACATACACACACACCCCTTTGCTCAAAACTCTTATATGTACTTTTCAAGGAGAACAATGATGTATACAAAGCACATTGTGATCTCTTACAGTTAAATATATATATAATTATATATACTTAAGTATTAAATATAAATATAACATATAAATACACATCTGAATTCTGAGTATTTCCTTGGAACTCAGCACTATTCAAATTGTGGTGGAACCACCTGTTGTCACTTCAACTAAAGAGGGACATGGGATCTGAGGCAGAATATTTAACTCTTCTCTAAGCAGAGGTAGGAAGAATACAATTTGCATCAGCCTCCATGTTTAATTCTGTGAATTCTGGGTCTCCTCGTATCTTTATTTCAAAGCCTTTTAACACAATTCTTTTTTTCAGCCAAAATGATGAAAGGATTGATGTCTCTTAGTCACTCTCAGTGTACTCTCTGGTTTTCCTCAATGTTGATGTGACAGAACTCTAGAACTTACTTCCTTTATGAGAAAAACAAGTGGTTGGAAAAAGAAACAGATTTATTACAGGAAACCAGGCATTTTGATAAAGTTGGGTATCACTTATTTGAATCAAATAGACTTTTTGGGCTCCATTAGGGTGTAATTTGACATGCTACAATAAAGTAGGTGAATTTATTAATTATTAACTTACCTTATCCCAAAACCCACCATTATATGTAAGTTCTTTTTATTTCAGTTTAACAAAATGTTTATGCTTGGAGATGGTCTTCTTCAATAATATTATATGTGTCCTTGACAATTTTTTTAATCAGATATTTCCAGCACTCTTATTTTCTACGTCTTCAGAGTAAAACCACTTGTGCCATTATTATGTCAGTTTAATTTTTGTTATTATAAAATAATGAAAAGTAAAGCATTGCCAAGAGTGTTTAATAGAACTAATGACATTAGGAAACTAATAGGAAAAAAACCCATGGACAAATCATAGGCATTCAGCACCAAGAAAGCACAAAGTATAACTAACAAATGTTTATTGTTTCTTTATGTTTGTAGATACGAAGAAGCTCTCAGTAATGCTGGATACAGGGTAGTTGCCAGAAAATTTATCCAGTTCTTACCAAATTGTCAGAGAATCCATGAAGAGTTTTTTTTGGGGGGAGGGGGTGGCAGTAAGGGAGAAGACAAGTTGAGATTGCACGTGGAATTGCTGCTAACAGCATAGATTTACTAAAGTGTGATGAGGCATGAAATAATAAACGTTGTCCCTGGAGGATGGAGGTGCATAATTGCTGATGTGTTGTACGCTGTGCTGTAGATAGCAGTGAAGAGACAAAGGCAAAAGAAAAATCAAACAATTAGCCATCAAATGAAAAAAAATCTTTTCATGGTTTTCGTACCTCTGCATTTTACATTCTGTCCCTCTTCCCACTCTTCAAAATCACCCTCACGCTGCCAGCTGGAATATTTTGATTGAGAGCAGTGCACATAAACAATCACACTTTGTGACATTTGATATAGCGGGCCCAGAAGGCTGGAGATGGATTTAGTAAAGAATATGTGGCCAGCTGAAGCCACTTGGAATGTTAAGTGGGAAAAGATTAGAAAACTCGACTTGGCAGATTCATTTTAGGTGTCTAGAGCTAAAAGACGAGAAGCAATGATCAACAGTTTTTATAAAATGCTGTGTTCTGTGATATCTTCAAAGTACAGGATTCATCTCATTATCACCATCCATCTAGTAGATATGCCTGTGTTTTCTTTAGCCTGATTATATCTTGAACATGAAACTTTTAATGCTAATGCATCAATACTTCAATCGAAGATGTTGCTCCAGTTAAGCTGGGGTGGGAATCATGATGTGATTTCAAAGTGGTCTGAGAAAAATTCTTTAAGTGATATGACAAAATTATTTGTGTATGCCTGTTTCCACTTGTGACTGGTCCATAGCTTTCATTAGATTTCCCAAAGAGTTTCAGTGCCCTTCTCAAGATGAGAGGGCACCATAATAGAATCTAATGGCCCTACTTTTCCAAAAATCACCCAGTGACTTTTTAATTACTAAATTCAATGCCTTATGCTTCTTTTCTCTCCCTCAGTCTCTCTCTCTTTCTCTGCCTCCATGTCTCTCTTGCCTATACAGAGAAAATTGCTGTAATTGATCTCCCTTTCCTAGAAATTCATCTGATTTTCATGATTATCATATTCTCCTTATATCCATGCTACCCTGTAGGAAGCACCTTCTCAGTCTTTTTCACTGACTGCTCTTCCTCCACCTACCAGTAAATGAAAATATTGCCCAACATTCTGTGTTCTCCCACATTCATTCTTGTCTGGATGACTCTCCTGGTTTCAAATTGGCTGACTCCACTTGGACACTGTTAGCCATGCCCACTCTCCCAAGTAGTAGGCCTTTATATTAGCTCATAAATATGTTTCTATTAGTATCCCAAGTATATATGTTTAAAAATGCCAATTTCAACTCAAAAATATGTTCCATCCATTTCTAATCCTTTCCATCTAAATCCATTTCCTTCATCCATCTCTCGTACTACCACCCTCTCACCCAGATTAGTATTCTTATCACTTGGACTACTGCATTGGTATTCTAACTGCTTAATTCACACTTTACATTAAATTTCCCTCCTCTATTTTCCTGTCTTTAGCCATTCACCTCATGGACAATATCATATCTTTTCATAATTAAAATATGACCACATTAAAATCCTTCAATGTTTTCCCATTGCTTGCTTTTTGCACTAGATAAAAAAATCTTCCCACTTGAGTTCTGTAGTCTCTCTTCAGTTCTGCAATTTCAGTATTCTCTTTTCTGGCTTATCTTCCTACTTTACAATACACTTACCACACTTTGAAATCACAATTCTGACTCCATTACTCAGATTCCCCAAACAGTCAGTGTTTCTTCATTGCTAATAGGAAAAGTCCAGTAACCTCAACAGTCATTCAAGGTTTTTTTCCAATTAATGCATCACTATTTCATTCACAAAACATATTCTACTGGTTCTTTCTCACATGGATATCATATTTTTGTGCTTATTCTTCTGATTGTTCTTCTCCATTTGTAAAGCTGTTCTTAGACCATCTTAAGTATCAAAATATTACCTAAACTTAAAGAATTAATAGCAAATAATACTGCCAATCTTTCCCAGCAACTACAAGTAAACTTTACATGTTTTGAACTAAATCTTTGGTGTATACTCTTTGGAAGCAATGTATATTACTTTTTAGTGTGAATTATAGTTATATATATACATGCCTAACCTATTTTGGGCAATAAACTTCTTGAATGCTTTTGCCATTTCTAATTAATCATCATATCCTTCACATTTGTGTTTCCTTTGAGTAGTAAATTACTTTCCCTTAATGAAGAAAACAAAAAGCAATGTATTGATGGTCCACAGTGATTTATATATTAAATCCAATGTCCTCTGCATGGGTTCAAAGTCTTTTCTGTTTTTCCCTTTCATTTTGACTCCCATGTACCATTTCTCTGCACACTTATTTCCCCGGACACAATGCACACTTACACCTCCAGCTATTACTCTTTATTATTTATATTTCCATAGATCCTTGTACCCTCTTCTCTGACCCTTGAGTCTGGGTTAGGTGCCTCTAAGTCCCTGAAGAACGTGTTGTGCATTTCTCACCGTATAGTGATTTGCTGGTTGACCTGCCTTCCTGCTTATCAACTCTGAGTTCCTGGAATACAGATATAATCTCTGAATCCTTGGTGCCAGAGTACCTGGCACATAGTTGGCACATGCTAGAAGTGTGCTGAAAAGTTAAATAACCTAGTACTTATCATTTGGAATTCTACTCACTATTCAAGATTCTTCTCAAACTCCACCTCTCACGGAATGTCACATTGCATTTTGTAAGTTCACTGAATTTATGTTTACTTACCACCCTCCCAAGCTCCAGCATTATCTGCCCCAGAAAGCTTTCCTTGACACCCACCAGGCAGTCAGAGTCTCCTTCCCTGACCTCTCATGGCTCCTAGTACACTATGACATTGTATTCAAATGATTTATCATATTTAAATTTCAGGACCTACTATGACAGCTCTTAAAGTCTATAGGGGAAGACAGTCTGAATACCCATTTTAACCTCTATGCCCACAAAAGTACTTGATTCAGTCCATAATAAATGTTAAACTTACTGAACTTGAACAATGCTTTATTTTAGTACACCCCAGGACTTTGTGTAGGGCTCTGAACATAGTAGGTTGTGAATGTTCTATCAATAAATGAATGATTTAATGTAATTAAATTATTGGCATAAATTCCATTTTTCATTTAAGATAAATAAAATTCTCTAGACTATTGACCAATATAAACATAATTTTCTGTTTTATCTCAGGCCATACTTATTCTATGTGACTGGCTCAATATAAAGTAAATAGTACATAAATAGACAAATAGTCCTTTAAGAAATTATATTTGAACTTAAGTGAATATGTTATTAAAGTATCTCAAAACCTTGGCAATGCCTTTCATTGCTTTCTCCTTTAAGTTCTAAAAGTGTTATTAGAGAGAGAAGAAAGTTGCATCTGGGGTGAGCAGTTCACATATTTACCTGGTGCCAGGAATTGAGTTAATGGAATTGTTTTTTAACCCTGAGCAAGAATTACAAATTGAAAATGTCATTGTGAATATGCAAATATTATGGAAATGCTCTTACTGATTAGGGTAATTCTAAGAAACTTAATTATGTTCCTGGCCTACCCATCTGTGAGAGCAGTCAATCAGTGAACTGGTTATCATATTCCGATTAAAAGCTATTAGGCAAGAGTGATATCTGCAAAAGTACCTGGAAGCTCAAGAAGTGCTCAGTACTAAATGCTTGTGTCAAGTGGCCCAATGAAATAGAACAGATTTTGTCTTTGGTTGAAGTTACAGCACTGCATGCAGGTAAGTAAGTCAGCAACCACACTTTTATCTGACTCTTAGAACTGTACTTCCATCAAAATGATGTACCCCATCAAAATGAGGTGGAACTAAAATGTTTAAAGTATTAGTGGAAACTTAGGGGTGTCATTTTGGATTTAGTCTATACTTGAAGTCACAAGGTTTGCTAAAGTCCGCCTTTATGATTGCAATGCCAAAAACAAGAATGAAGTCTCAGTATTTGTGGTTTATCATAACATTTCATGTCTCAAACTCCTTTTTTGCTTCTCTTTTGGGGAGAAAACAACTGAGAAATATGTTTTTGTGTTTAGTGTTGTATTTGCCGCAGGTGCTCTGTTACTTGCTTTTCTTTTCTCCTTAAAAAAGTGTATCATTTCAGCATTGTATGTTTTTTGCTTGTAGAATAAGGTTTTGTTTTAGTGGAACAACCTATGATTTTTAATCAGAGATACTGGATGAAAGGCAAAGTGTGCTATTCCTAAACTATATTTTGCTTGCCACAGATATAAATTTATCATTGATGTTATTTGTTTTATTTTAAAGGAACTGCAGCAATATCTAGCTAACCTGGCTGAGCAGTGCAGTGCTGATAATAATGGTGTCGAGCTCCCGGTTGTGATAATTCTGGATAATCTTCATCATGTGGGCTCTTTGAGTGATATCTTCAATGGTTTCCTCAACTGTAAATACAACAAATGGTATGCTTATGAAGTATTTTGAATGACCAAATATGAAAAAATATGGTGATCAATTTGCTTTCTTGAGCCTTTATACTTTTTAAGACATGTAATGGATGCTTCTAATTTGAGATACCGTCAGTAACATAATCTGTATTTCCAAAGATTCCCCAGGTGTTCCTTAGGATATCTCTTTACTCATTCAACAACTGTATCCCAGGCACTTTTATGAAAGCATGATTTACTTGATGTTGTTAGCTTCTGCAGATACGCTGTAGTCTGGGACACAGTATCAATGGTGGAATGTCTGAATCAGGGAAATTAAGAGCTAGAATGAGGCTTTAGAGCTCTGCTTTCATTCTTTGTCCATATCAAAGTTTAAATTCAGCTATAGAGATATATCAACTGCAGAGATATCTTATCTGCAGAGATAAGTTTAATACATTCATATAACTCTCTCCATTAATAAGCCTAATTTTTAACTATTTACAATAAAAAAGGTTAACAGGGTATTCAAAAACTCTGAAAACCCAGTCAAGATTTACTTTAGCTTGATCTCTAAAGCAAGGATAAGAACAACATAAATATTAGTTTTAATGGTTTAAATATCCCAATTAACTAATCTCTGCCAGAGATTTTTTAAATGTTAAAAATAGATCAGCATAAAATAAATATTGAAACAGGAATGCAAATTCTCTCTTGTTATTAAGAACCTTTAAAATAACTATGACATAATAAAAGAAAAAAAATTAATGAGCTTGGTTATAAGCCTAAGAGTCATAAGATGTTAGAGTGGGATGAGGCCCCAGTGATCACTCTAACCTTTTTATTTTATGCATGAGCAACTCAGGCTCAGAGGGAATATGACACGTCCTGGACGCCAGCGCTGAAATCAGAGCCTCTGGGTCCTCCTTGCCTATTCAGTGATCTTTGTCACTTTCTGACCTAACATTACAAATGATAGTTTTAGGCCTAATGTTAATATGTTAAATTGTTCTCTAAGACAATTTTAATGTATTAATATCTTTTAACTCCAGTATATCTATTTTTTTTTCCAGTCCATATATTATTGGAACAATGAATCAGGGAGTTTCTTCTTCACCAAATCTAGAGCTGCATCACAATTTCAGGTAAAAATAAACTGATTTTTTTTTTAATGGTCTCTTCTGTTTGCTTTTGGTTCATGTTTTTCCATTTGTACCCTGATAAATCCTGCCACTGGGGGCCCATGGTGTGAAAATAATTCTCACTTCTGACACTTATTCTCAAGCAGACATTTTGTGGTCCTCAACCTGTAACCAGAAGTGTTTCTTTAAAAAAAAAAGAAAAGAAAGGAAAAGAAATGTTTTTCCTGCTCACTATGTCACCATCTAAAGTAGAGCTCTCTCATTCTCAGTGTGAGGCATGTGAAGAGGGCTCCTATTTTGGGATCTGTGATTCTCCCACAGAAGAGTGCTCAGCATGTGTACTCCCACTCACTGACTGACCCACATGAGCTGCTTTTTAGCTCAAAAAGGAAAGTTCGTTCCATTATGGCTCTAATACTAATAGACCTCCTGACCTTCTGATCATCACGTTGTGGCCACCAATTGAAACAGGAGCATTAATACTTTATCTTGGAACAAAAATCACTATAGGCTGAAAATATAATTTATGTAAAGATTTCTGATTTTTTTTCAACTCTTTGTAGGTGGGTACTGTGTGCAAACCACACAGAGCCAGTGAAAGGCTTTTTAGGCAGATACCTCCGAAGGAAACTGATTGAGATAGAAATCGAAAGGAACATACGCAATAATGACTTAGTCAGAATTATAGATTGGATTCCAAAGACATGGCATCATCTCAACAGTTTTTTGGAAACACACAGTTCTTCTGATGTTACCATTGGTGAGTTCCAAAATTGCAATATGCCATTTTCCAGGAACTAAAAGTACGTGGTAAAGACAGCCAGATTGGATGGTAGAAAATAACAAGTGAAGCTAATGTTTCTCTAGCTTCCAAAGATTAAGGTTTCTTTTTTTTTTCCTTCTGAAAGTTTGCCTTCTTGTAAGCTCTATATCTCTTGCAAGATCCATTTTGCCTGACAATTATGGTTTACTAAGATTTTACTGAGGTTAAGTAAGTTTAATGTAGACAAATACCTAAAAATTAGATAACCATTTGAAATGAATTGTATTTGTTTAGAGTACCCTTTTTTTAATGCTAAACACAAATTTTAGCTAGTGGCTCATATCAAGTATAGTTGTGAGAGCAGATTTTAGTTAGAGACAATTTAGGTGTTTTATATGTTTCATGAAGACAAAATTGTTTGAATTATTTCCCTTTAGCTGGCACAAAGATGTTTATTTTTGTATTCCTTCTTAAATTGCATGTATAAAAGTCCCTTTCCCCTTGTTATGAATCATAAATATGTACTCACTAAAGACACAGCATAAGTTGGAAAGAAGAATTCTACATTTGGGATCAGAAGACCAAGGCTAAGTCCCATTTATCAACTCATGATGTATTTTGTATTCAGCAATTCATTTCAGCATAGTTTCATCACTTTTAAAATGGGGCAGGTTGACTAGATTAGAACCTTTAAGGTTTCTTCTGACTTGAACATGTTATGTTTCAGATTAAGGTATCAGTATAAAAAAAGGGAAGTCCTGCAGATTGTGTATTCATTAAAATGTACTTTAATAAGAAACAATCTAGCTAACATAATATTCTAAGAATCCTTCAAGAAATACATTAATTCCCTCAAAATTATATCTTGAAATATGTGCTTATATTGCTAAATATAGTAGTTCTCAGAAATGTTTTGTTATTCACATTTCTCAGGTCCCCGACTTTTCCTTCCCTGCCCCATGGATGTGGAAGGTTCTAGAGTGTGGTTCATGGATCTCTGGAACTATTCTTTGGTACCTTATCTTCTGGAGGCAGTGAGAGAAGGTCTTCAGGTATAGCACTCGATTTTCTTTACTGTTTAAAAAAAAAGTAAATAAAATCATCCCTTTTAAAGCAAAAAACATTGATTTCTCTGGGTATTCATGCAGAAGACCAAAGGTTTATATATATATATATATATATATATATAATTTCATATATATAAATTCATATATATATATATGAATGTATGAACTATATAAATATAGTGGTAAAGTTCTAAGAAGCAACCCATACAACAGTTTTTTCTGTTCTGAGAATAAATATGTAGGAGAAAGAGAAAACAGTTATTCCCACAACTACACATTGAGGGCCAACTTTATTGCCATGGCCGTTCTTGTTAGACCATTCTTGTTAGATAGCCAGTTAATTGCACAGCCTACATCTTATAAGACAGGCAGGTTTACATAGTCCTTGATCATTTTTGCTCTTATATTTGCAACAAGTAGTTTTTGCTTATCATTTCCCAGCTTTTAGTATGTTTCATCATTTGAAGCCCTTTAACATCACTTGCAAGAGTCTTTACTATTTTTGAGGGAGTGCTCTAAATTCTAAGGTTTGAATTTTGTATCTGTAATTGGTTAAGGAGCATCTCTGCTGTTCCTCTCACCTACTTTACATTATGAGGCCCTGAAACTAGCCCTTCTATTTACTCTTAACAGAAAATTCCAAATACATCCCTAATGAGAAAACCCTGTTTGTTCAACAAAATATATTATCCCTTTTCCATCAGTCTTGCTCTTTCCTTAAATTGGAGTTGAAATTCCACAAAATTGTAGAATTAGAAAACCCAATGTTATGTATTTAAGATTTGTGTTGCATAATCATCCAACTTACCTTTGAAAAATCTAATCTTCTTTGCAATAACTCAGCCAAGGTTTAGGCAGTTTTTGCTTTGGCATCTCTATTTCTGGTTATCACAGCCACTACTAAACTTAAGATACAGTTCTTGCTTTTCATATTTTGTCATCTGCAATACTGAGTTAGGCATTTGTACCATCTAAAAAATTGGCTGTACATTTTCCCTCCCTTCACTTCCTTTTCCCATCCTGCTGCTCACCTAGTAGATGGCATGGCAGTACCTAGCACTGTCCCAAGGGTCCTGCTGAACGCTACACCTGTCAGGAGGATGTTCAGAGATAATGATCCCAAAGAATGCTATCAATTAGTTCTACTGCAGTTTTAAATAATTCAGTTTTATATTTTAAAGGGGATGAGCACACCTGGCCCCAGCAAGCGGTTCTAACAAAATAAAAGACTTTCCCAGAAATTTTTATTTTTCATATACTTTCAGAATTCTTCTAAAACTACTAATGCTGTCTAAAATGGGAGTTGGGTCCCTCAATCTTAGTCATTTATACCAAAACAAATTTTTATGAAAGTGTATTTACGATATTCTAGGAGTCATTATTTTTAAATTAATATTTAAGTGGCTTCTTTGTTCCCTTCACACAGTTTCAGTATTAATACACTATCATCCTAGGTTTTGTATATAAATATAAGATTCTCCTTGTTTCATGTTTGTTTGCTAATACACAGAAAGAAAAAGAAGCTTTTTGAAAAACCCAGAAACAATAATAAATAAAAATGCTTAGCTTCCTTAGATCTTATTTTTTAAAAGTGCCTACATTCTTAAAGTTTATTTAATATTTAAATCAGTATTATTTATAACTATCCTGGGAATTATAATTGTATAAAGCTTCCTTTTGGGCAAAAGTATAACCCCTAGAGTAATACTAGTTTTCCAACTAAAGCTGAGAGATACTTCCAAATTATTTTTGAAGAGAAGTAAGAGTGTCCTAAATTTCTCACTGTGGTTCTAGATGTTTGGTGATAGGTGAGTGTGAAAGCTGAGCCAAACTTGATGTAGGGAGTCGGGGAGGGGGGCGGATCCAGTATGTGGGAGAGATAACAAAAAGGAAAACCCTTTGGGGGTAGGTAGTTCTCAGTGCTGCAGAAGGATGATTTTAGCCAGAAGTCCACTGGCAGATGACATACCATTGGGTTGGTTCCGTGCGCTGTCTGGAGAAGCAGAAAGGAAAGCGGTCGTGTGTGTCGTGAGCCATTCCCTTGAATCGACTGGCTACAGAGAACCTTGAATTGGAGCGAGAGATGGAAAAACAAAATGTGATTGCTAACGTGAAAATCAGAGTTAAGAGAAATAGGAAAATCTCTTCTCAAATGAAGGCTGACGCTTTGATGGGGAGCATGTGGAGGATGCTCTACCAGATGTTCCTGTTGGGATAGAACACCGGTGTGGCAATGGACTGATTTTTATTCTGAAGATTTTGTCTTTCTTGATGTCAGCCATCAATTCATCTAATTCTAAATATTTAAATTTATTTTATTTCAGTTATTTTTCTATAATACCTTTTTTACTCTGCAGTATAGAATTGGGCCTGCTTAACTTTTCATTGGTCACCTCCAATGTTCCTGCCCTTGATGATTCTTTAAAAGGCTGGCATCCATCGATTCTAGACTTTCATATTATTTTTGTAATGTTTACTTTCCAAGAATTACACATTTAACTTCAATTAGTTTAACTTGTATCACAAGCTATGTTTTACATCCTCTGTGAGGTATGTTTTTAACTGAGAGAGCACTTCTGCTCCAAAACAAGAGAACTATATATATATATATATATATATAAATCTAATTATGTCTACTCCTACCAGCATCTCCCAGGAAATGCACAGATGTCAGGACCTGGATGCCTTTGTGAATTTTTTTTAAGACAGAGCCACCATAGCCTCATACAGCTTCTCCAGAAGAAACCCCAAAGTTTATTCCAAGGCAGTCCATGGGTCTTTCATGGTGTCAACGTCCATTATTTTGCTTTGTCTCACTCAGCCACAGCAAGCCACATAGACCACCTCAGAGCATGCTGTCTGGGACCCAATGTGACCCTGGTCACCAGGACTGACTTCCGCAGGGGGGCAGGACAAGGCGAGCTGAAAGTACATCGAGGAACTGGTGTGCCCATGTGGCTGCCCTCATCTCTTCGCTTCAGCTTTCCTTCCTGTGCCCCTGTGGCCTCTGCCTCTTCACAGAGTCCCACCAGCTTGTCTCCTCAGGGTGCCCTCCCCAGTTAGGTTTCAGTTTCACTTCCAGCTTACGCATGTTTTGACCTCTGTTGAACTCCTCTCCTGCCCTTGACTCCACCATCAGCACTTTAAGCGGGCTTTCTCATCCCTTTCTTAGGGGCTTTTGGCCTCCATATGAGTCCTGACAACACTAATGTTTCCATTTCCCATTTTTTCTCCTCTTTTACTAATGGCCTTATAAATAAACATGTAAAAAAGAGTTATTACAGGAAGCAATGAGATTATTAGAGGAGGTTATTCTGGATAAAATGGTTATCAGAGAAACTACTCTTATTTTCAAAGAATGCTTTGAGTGAAGTAGGCAAAGAAAAATCTATTTTCTCTTATTCATCACCTTTCCAAAGTGCACTTCAGTAAAGAACTCCAGAGTTTAACATGGCTTTTTTTTAAATTCTCCATCACTGCGACTTAACTTTCTCAGCTCTGGGTTTTCTTTCAGTTTGTAAAATTACTAATAAAGATAAATGTGGTAGTCATTTCTACATGTATCCCCTGAATGGTGATCATCCATCCCAGATGTTCAGCTTCACATTGTTTATCCTTCAAGTTGAAAGTGAGCTATGTAGACAGACAGTGTTTATAATCTGGAAAATTGTATACAGATACTTAATTCTCTTGAAAGTCCTATTAAGAAATCAAAATTTGAAAGTCACTCAGGTAGTCACCTGTTTTATTGAGTAGAAATGTATATTATATGTGCTAAATATGTGATCACCTTTTAGATGTATGGGAAGCGGGCACCTTGGGAAGATCCCTCCAGGTGGGTGCTGGACACGTACCCATGGAGTGCAGCAGCTCTACCTCAGGAGGGCCCCACGTTGCTGCAGTTGCGGCCAGAAGACGTTGGGTATGAGGGCTGTGTATCCACTAAGGAGGCCACAACCTCCAAGCACATTCCACAGACGGACACAGAAGGGGATCCCCTGGTAAGACTCCCGTGTCTGATTCTTCCTGTGTCATCTTGACTGCAGTACATGTGGTCAATAGTATTTAGTCATTTGTATCAAAGCCAGTAGTTCCCCGAGGTAATATTTGGGACTGCCCTGATATGGGGACTCAGGTTCAACTCTTTTGCCATTGGCCTGCTTCCATTGGGTGAAATTCTTAAAATGAAAGACCAAACTTGGATGCTTAAAAATAACCAAGAAACTCTGAAACCAGTCTGAACTCTGTGACTGATTTTTTTTTATGCAGAAAATTATGTAAATACATTGTAAACATTGCATGACTCAATTCACTAGGTATGTAAGAGCAAACAGTTTTGTTCTTAAATGAAAAAAGCAAAATACTTTAATCTAATGTGCACTGGGAAAAGTAAACAATATTTTACAAATACTAACCAGTCTGACTAAAATTAAAATTCTTCTTTTGTTGCTTACAATAGAGAAGAATAAACTGACTTGGAAATCAAAGGAAGTTACTTTCCCTGATTCTTCCTGCCTTTGTCAACTTGCAGTCATTTCAGTTTAAGGAAAGTTAACAATACTCCGAAGTATGAATACTCTGAAAATATTAAGTATATGGTGTTATTAGGAAAAAAGACTTTATTTTTATATATTTTTTAATTTTACAGATGGTTTTCTGTAGATTGGTATCAAATGTAATATGTGTGTCAGCTTACCATTGGATTTGCACAACTATGCAGAGAGATGCTGAACTAAAGTCCGTTATGTTACTTAAACAAAAAAAGGAAATGATTAAAAATCATAACCTACAGCTATAGCCAAGAACATAAAATACTGATATTTTATGTTCTTATATATGTTACGTATTATATATTTTATGGAATATCGTAATACCCACAGCCCCAACATTATCATCATCATCATCTTAGTCTATCTTTCATAACATTTTGGGGTTACATGGGAACAATCTGATACATTTTCAAGATCCTTTCCCCAGCAAAATGCTCACCACACACACAAGATTTTGCACACTATTTCAAAGGGTTCCGTAAACTCACAGAAGTATATACAGAGGCTCCTTATAATCCAGGAAATCCTCTGTGTAGGGCTTTTGCTCTAAAATAAAAACTCCTTAAGGGCCTGGAATTACATATATATAACAGGGACCTGGACCTTTCATTCATATTTAGAAATCATTCACAGTTAGAAATCAATGGTGGTGGAATTGGTTTGAATCCAGTACAATTTTGAGCAGTTAGTAACTGCTGTTAGAATGGTTAACATTTAATAGAGTAAATATAAGCCTTAGAGTACAGGTATAGGTTATTTCACCTGAGTTTTTTATAAATTCTAGTCCTACCTTGGCAGTTCTGTTTCAGGTAAAGAAGAATAGAGGACAGATTAAAAGAGAGAGGTTATGTGTTGATGGACTTGGTTCTGAGAGCTGAACTGTAGACTATGGGATCCTTAGGAGATGCCCTCCCCTTTCCCGGTTCCCACTGACCCGGTGAGCTTGTCCTGATAAGCTCTCTCTTCCCTGGCTCTGAATTCTCCCGCCCTGTCCAGAGAAGAGATCCAGCGTCTCCTATTCTCAGTGAGAATTGGAGGAAAAAAAAAACTCTGATTCCCAATCAGCTGCTCAACTACACATCTTAAGAAACAAGGGGTTATGATATTTGACATATTAAATGGCAAAAAAATCTATCATCTAAAGATAAACCTTTGGATTAGGCTCATTTTAATATGAAAATAAATATTTTATCTGCTTGTATTTATCTTTTTCTATAATTACTGACAAGGTAAAAATATATTTGAGGTCCAATTTAAATCAGAAATATTAGGGAAAAAATCCACTATTTAATGCCAGAAATATGTTTTTGAATCTGAACAAAAAATGCAAGTTTTTGCCATATCTCACAGTATTTTAAAAAATACAATGTGTATTTATGATCAACAAGTTCATTCATTAAGTATTAATAAGTAATAAGAATGTTCTCAGGGCTAAGAGCCTGATATTCATTATCAGGAGATAAATGAATATCATTTCTGATCTCAAGAAGCTCACAGTCCAGGAGTGGTGAGAGACATCTACCTGTATAAATTACAGTAAAATAATGAAAGGGTTACATACTAGGTAAATTGTGAGTCAACTTAGGAAGTGAGTCAGAGAAAGCTTCGTAGAGGAAGAGATGCTTGAGCTCGGTCTGGAAGGATGAATAGAAATTTATCATGTGGTTGCATGGAGGACACTCAAAATTAAGGAAATAGCAGGTGAAACCTTATGGGATAATATAATGAAATGATGAGTTTAGGGAGCTATACACAAATTGGAGGATTAGCACAAAGGAGGCTGGAGAAATTACAGCTACAGGAATCTATAGTTGCTAGATCATGCTGAGCCTTGTTTATCTTTGTAGGAGTTTAAAACTTTATCACACAATGGGGACCCACCAAAGTTTTTTGAGCAGGGGACTACCTAATTAGATTTGCATTTTATAAAGATATCTCTGCTAACAGAATAGAGGACAGAATAAAAGAGATAGGTTAGAGGCTGGGAGGCTGGCAGACTTGTAAATATCAGAGATAAGAACCTGATGAAGCTCTTACAGATGACAGACATTATATTTATGCCTATGGATATGGAGATAAAGCTGGGGAGAAAAGAGGAGGGAAATATTTTGCAGAGAATAATAATCTATCCTACTGACTATTGGATCATATGTAACCTTATCTCCCTCTTGTAATTACCTTTGACTTGAGTAACAAAGCAACATTATGAGAAAGTAAAGTAAATCCTATATACATTATTATGAATCTGAGGCTTATCCTAGTGCAACGTATTTCATTATAACACCATATTCAAAATTAAGACTTTCATAACACTTATTACACTATAAAACTTTCACAGTGTTCAACATTCAAAAGACTTCAAACATTTGTGACTGAGATAGAGTCATAACCCTTTAAACAGACCTCAATTACAATTTCTGCTCTTAGTAAATCAAGTAGGTGCTCAACACACAGTCGTGTTACAAATCATGTTACCCAGATGCTTGACACAACCTCTGCTCTGAGGGAGGAATTAACCAGCAAAGAAGAGAGGCCGTATAATGTGTGTGAAGGGAGCATGTGTGTTTGGGGGTTGGAGGGGGAAGGGGAGGCAGAGGGAGGAACGTGTGTTGATGGAGACATTTGGCTCTTTGTCTTACTGGGTTTGAGAGATTATCACTTTTTCTTTCATATCCTTATGTAGCTGATTTAATAAATTCACAGACCAAAAATTGTGTTGAAAAATATTGTCCTGAGAAATATTAAAATGATTATAAAATATGCTATACTGTAGCCATTTTGTCCAAAGGCATTCTCACTGAAGTTGGTGATTACCAATTTATTTATTTCACAACCATTTATTGAACACACATATTACGCTGAGTACACAGGCATGCATAGCCTAACATTTGACTAAAGAACTCCATTTTAGATTTCTATTTTCTATTGGATCAGATTCCCTATTTTTTCTGAGTTAGAATTAAAAAAAAACTTTGATTACTTTATAAAATAATAAAATTAGTATGCATTAAACAATATAAAGATTCTTGAAATTTATAGAAATGCTTGATAAGAAAACAAGTCCACTACCTTCAATGACGACCTTTTCTATGCTCTCTAACATCGTGAACCATTTATCCACAATTTGCTTTTTAAAGAATCTTTCTCTGTAGCTAACAGTGGGTCTGCAGATCTATCAAAACCCGAGCGAGGCGGCCTTTTACTTTGTAATACAGGGAATGCTGGCCCTCTTTCTCCCCAGGTGCTTTCATGCGTATGTCCCTTTACTGGAACAGACATTCCCATTTTCCTATCAGCTGGGAAACCTGAGACAGCTGCAGTGGTTTCAGAAGACAGTTTTTGTGCTCAGGGAGAGATCAATCATATTTTAGCTGGAAATTCAACAGTAGAAACCTGCAGTGACTCCTCCCTTTTCCCTCCTCAAACCCTAATGAGTGGCGTCATTCAGTCGCCTCCTCCCGAGGTCGTCTCCTAAGCAGCAGATGGAGGACCTGGTGCAGCAGCCGGCCTCACTCCGCCAAAGGCTCTCTCTGTGTGTGTGTGTGTGTGTGTGTGTGTGTGTGTGTGTGTGTGTGTGTGTACGTGCTCTGCAGCGGCCAGTGTTCCCACAGCCCCAGGTGAGGGCGTGCCCCCTGGGGCAGCTGGAACAACCTGACGCTGTTTCCCCGGTCACCTGCAGGGATGCGGTGGTCCCTGCATGCGGCCCGGGCATGGTGGCCTGCGGCCTGCGGGCTGGCTCGCCCCGGCGGCAGTGCTCACAGCGACGCCTCTCTCTCCCTCTCTGCAGATGCACATGCTCATGAAACTGCAGGAGGCGGCCAGCTACACGGGCACGCAAGGCTGCGAGGGCGCAGGCGATGGCCAGCACGAGGGCGGGCAGGAGGCATCGCTGGAGTCCACCCTCTAGAGGGCGCGGGAAGTGAGGGGAGGAGACTACGCTTTCTGAAAGTGTTGTGAAGTAAGGTGTTTTCGCGAAGCCACTGCCAGTATGGAAGTCTTGCCTGCCGGGGCCCTGACCCAGAGCCGTGATTTCCAAGGAGGCAGCAGCGCCAGGTCTGAGCTTCTAGGCATGTTTATACGGGCCGGGCGCTAGAAGGCTCCATCAGTCAGCTGGGAAGGACCCTGGCGGCAGGGCACCTGACTCAATTGCACATGGGATAGCCAAACTGGACTTTCTTTTCTTCCTCTTTAAAAGTTTACAACGCAGACCTTTTTTTGTCCCTTCCTTTCGTGTCCCCTGAGGGGCCGCTGTCCCCGTGCAGGGCTCTCTCCTCTCCGTCCAGCCCCCTTTGTGCCCCATGGTGCTGGTCACAGGGCCCCAGTAGTGTTTGTGCTCTGCGCTCACCCCATTCCAAAACGAAGCCAAGAGGCCAGGCCTCGGCAAGCACACGTGAGATTGTGCCACCCCCAGAAAAACAGGACTGTGGCAGGGAAGCTGGGAGAGCGCCCCACCCACTTCTCAGTGTAGGAGCCGCTGGTTTTATAAGGCTGTTTTTACCACAGTGGTCTTTTTAACCCACCTGCCCACGCCCTTCACAAGAGTTTTATACCAGTTATTTAGACAACACTGAAAAAAGGCTTTCTTAGGGCTTTCTTCGTGTGAGCCTTTTCAGTGGAAGAAGGAACATTTCCTATGGTGCTCTCACTGCCTTAATCAGACTTCTACGATAGTTTAGCCAGGGGTTTCAGACCACTGGTTATTCCCACTGTCTTTTCATTGATAACCAAGTGACATCAGTTCATACAGTAGCCTCATCTCTCTTTGTTTGTTTGAAGAAATGGGTAGGAGAAACATTTGTGGTTTTACCTTGTGAACAGATTGCTTTGCCCATCCTCCACAATAGCCAAGGAACCCGGAAACCCTCTTTGCCCGTTACTTAAAAGCTGAGCCATGTGGCTAAATTCTATACAGTTCTAGTTGAAAGAGTTTCAGAAGGTGGGATATTGAATTCTTATCCAGCTGAGCTGCAAGCACTACAGGCAGCATGAGCACAATTATTTGGCTTTCCTCCCCGCTTTTTTTTTTCTTTTTTTTTTTTTTAATGTTTTGAGCATGTTGTTTTGATTGCTATTATTGTACATGAGAAATTCAGCATTAAAGAACACTGAAGCAGTGAAGTCACTGTGGAAAAAGAAGCGTTTATACTGTAAAAGAAGGTTAGATTTGCACAGTCTACTGGGTAGGTATTGTAAATAATAATTTTAAAAACTTGCACAAATCCAAATGACCACACACAAAAAAGTATTTTATCCTGTTGGTGTTAAGAGGTGTTTCACTTGCTGAGATTTCCTGTACATTGCAAACAAATACAGAATGCAGATTCTCAAAGCTGTTATTATCTGGTGTGTTTGTCCTGTGTTTACGGTTGTCATGACTATGCAGGCGCTATCAGTGCTAGAGTGAGCATGCTTCAGAGCTGTCCGAGAAGCTGGTGCAGTTTGGGAAAAGTAAAAATGTCTGGAAGTGCATCTGTTGTGGCAGGCTTTAAAGAGAGTGCATGAAAACTGATTGGAGTCTCTGGAGAAGTCACCACCACACACAGGGGACAGAATTCAGGTGTATAAAACCCAAGGGCTAGGCCATGGTGTAGACCTGTCCTGTGCGTGTGAAAATGTGTTACTTTCAGGATGCTCAATTGGTGCTACTCTCTGTGACCACTCATGAGTCAGTTGCTACAGAACCATAATAGCACAAGACATCTGTGCAGTTCCCGAGTGCCACAAAGTCCATGGGTCCCACATGGTGCTATTGCCCTAAGGGAAATCAGAACTGAATTTATGCACATAGAATTGTCACCCTGACTTTGAAGCCTCAAACATGGATCAAGATCTGTTGTGAAACATCAGTACATGTAGCTGGATGAGTGACTAGTTGCCCTTGTACAATATGTGACCTAAGAAAATTGCTAATCTTTCCCTGACATTTTGAGAAACACAGTCCAAACATGATCATACACAGAACTTCCTGCAATACATCCCAGTAGGTCCACCTAGTTTACAACTTAAACTAGTTTGTGAAACATTTGTCTGTATACATTTTATATTTTGTACATTTTTGATGTAACATATCATGTAAATAGGCAGAAACAGTGAAATAAATCATCTGAAAAGTTTTGTAGTCTTTGTAAAGCCCCAACAATAAGTACTTGGTGTCAATGGACTTAACTGGATGATGTATTTTCTATTGGTTTATTGTTCCTCTAGCTTGTAAACCAGCTTGCATATATTTTTTTGCAAATGTGCACCCTGTATCTGTCTAAATTATTACTTTGCCATTAAAGTGGAATTATTTATTGACAAAAAGGTGTGGTGTCTATATATATGGAGAAAAGTTGAATAATTATGGACTAAGAAATACGGTTGTCATGACTATGCAGGCGCTATCAGTGCTAGAGTGAGCATGCTTCAGAGCTGTCCGAGAAGCTGGTGCAGTTTGGGAAAAGTAAAAATGTCTGGAAGTGCATCTGTTGTGGCAGGCTTTAAAGAGAGTGCATGAAAACTGATTGGAGTCTCTGGAGAAGTCACCACCACACACAGGGGACAGAATTCAGGTGTATAAAACCCAAGGGCTAGGCCATGGTGTAGACCTGTCCTGTGCGTGTGAAAATGTGTTACTTTCAGGATGCTCAATTGGTGCTACTCTCTGTGACCACTCATGAGTCAGTTGCTACAGAACCATAATAGCACAAGACATCTGTGCAGTTCCCGAGTGCCACAAAGTCCATGGGTCCCACATGGTGCTATTGCCCTAAGGGAAATCAGAACTGAATTTATGCACATAGAATTGTCACCCTGACTTTGAAGCCTCAAACATGGATCAAGATCTGTTGTGAAACATCAGTACATGTAGCTGGATGAGTGACTAGTTGCCCTTGTACAATATGTGACCTAAGAAAATTGCTAATCTTTCCCTGACATTTTGAGAAACACAGTCCAAACATGATCATACACAGAACTTCCTGCAATACATCCCAGTAGGTCCACCTAGTTTACAACTTAAACTAGTTTGTGAAACATTTGTCTGTATACATTTTATATTTTGTACATTTTTGATGTAACATATCATGTAAATAGGCAGAAACAGTGAAATAAATCATCTGAAAAGTTTTGTAGTCTTTGTAAAGCCCCAACAATAAGTACTTGGTGTCAATGGACTTAACTGGATGATGTATTTTCTATTGGTTTATTGTTCCTCTAGCTTGTAAACCAGCTTGCATATATTTTTTTGCAAATGTGCACCCTGTATCTGTCTAAATTATTACTTTGCCATTAAAGTGGAATTATTTATTGACAAAAAGGTGTGGTGTCTATATATATGGAGAAAAGTTGAATAATTATGGACTAAGAACTGTCAAGCTTTACATGTTGCTTGCACTATTAATATGCCATCAGTGGTTGGGGGGGTGGAATTTTATTTTATATAACTCATAGAAAGGCCCTCATAGCTTTTAAGTAAATAAATAAGCTGAAAACACTAGACATAAAATGCAAGTTATTTATTCAGAGAATATTTTTAGGAAACTCTGATGAGTCTACCTAAATGCCTGATTATAAAATAAGAATTAATATAAAATCATATGTTGACATTCAGTTAAATCAACTCATTACTCTTTCTTTGTTTTTATTTAATTAAATTCCCTTTTAATATTTTAGCTCTAGAGATCATTTTACAGCAGAATAATTCTCATGGTGGTGCTTTATTTTTAAAAGAGATTATAGAAAAAAAACTCCCATCAAAATGAGAATTTTTTTCAAAGCACTTTGGGCTCCACCCCCAGCAACTGGAATGTGTATTTGGATAATTCAAGTAGGGTTTTAATTATGAAAACAGGAAAGCTTTTGAATTAGAATAGTTGTGGAACAAAAAAGGTATTAGTTAAAAATGCATCAGTCATCCTTAAGGATTGAAATTGATGCATTTGTCCCTTCATTCAGAGTTTGGGTGATACAGGAAATTTCCATAATTCATCCTATCTGGATAAGCATTAAATTAATACAAAACTTGAATATGGTTCTGACATGTGCACTATTAGGCTATACAAGTGTGAATCCCAGCACCATCCTCTGTGTGACCTTGGCCCATTCACTCGCATTCAAAATGTTTCCTGGCCTATAAAAAGGCTGATACTAACAGCATCCAGCTCTCAGGGGTTCCTGGGACAGTCAGCTGGGTCTCACATGCAAATGCCCTGATAGGTGCCTCACACTTACAAAGCCCTCCATAGGGAATAGCTGCTTTAACTACCACTATTATTACAAAATAATAATTATAGGATATGTATTGTATTTTCAAACATTCTTGAGAACAAAAAGCAATTCAACTTATACGAAAATAGTTTTATTAAAAGAATGCATCTTTTAATATCCTCATTTTTAAAACATTGATAGTAATAATACCTACCCATAGGGCTGTTGGGAGTATTGAGTTTAAATCTGTAAAGCACTTAAAACAGTGCTAGGCATATTAACTATAGTATTATCATTAATTCACCTGATTCTTTTCACTTATTTAATGTGGCTACTAGAAAATCTACAGTTAAATATGTGGCTCATATTTGTGACTCACTTGATATCTCTATTTCTATAGGGTATCATATGTAGATACCCTTTAAAAAGATTGATCTTCATAATGTAAATGCAATCACCTTCCTCATCTCTTATATTTGTTTAAAACACAAATATTGAAGGACCACATTTCCTTGCTCAGTCTGGATTTTGCTCATCCCTTGGCTTCCTTTTCCACCATGTCCACTGCCCCAACTTTGGATCTGTTCTCTGGGACATTAGTCCGATTGTGTCCAGACAGTTTAACTATGAGCACATGTCAAAAGGTTTATTACAATCTTGTTGTACAGGAAAAACCTCGAGTAGGCCAATTTAAAAGTTTCTTTCCTAGTGGAGGCATTCATAGAAAAGATAGATTAGACAAAGAATAATATTCATTTAAAGATTCCTAGACTCTTGACTGTCAGGTAAATGGATGAGTGACTTGTCTTCCAAGACAAATATTAATCCCATAATCAAGCAGTTATTGAAAATGGCTAAACATTTTATCAGTGTTCTAATTTATTCAAAGAAGAAAATTACTAATTACGTCAAGCAATAACATTTTGTCCCAGACTAGGTTTGGAACAGTATTTCTTTTCTTTTGCAGCAATTTATGTCCTTTTACCCCTAGGCCCTTATACAGTCTCAAATGGCATTACTTTAGACAAGCCTTGTGATCCCTTAGACCAAGTCAAGAATCTGATTTATTTGCTTATCTAGTTATATATATGGTTTAATACACACACACACACACACACACACACACACACACACATGTATACATGTGGTGTCCCGCTTACCATGTTGCAATTTGCAATTTCAGGGCCTATATTATAGAGTATATTCAATAAATATATTGAATGAAAATATTTCTGACAGTAGCAGAACTTTAGCTTATGTTAAACAACAGCATGCAATTTCAGAACAACCACTTCTACAGATGTGGAACTTCCTGAGAAGCCATAATAATAATTAGAATGCTGTTCGTTGACCAGGGAAGAAAGTGGATAACCTGAGGATTTCTGAAATCCTGTACAGACAAAATACTGCCTTGCATTTGGGATATTTTTTCCCCTTTAGATTTAATGTACTACATACTTTCTACTAAGTTTTTTCTTTCTGCTTTTTCAAGTTCTTTGAGGATGTCTTAGTTATATATAGTGCAATTTAAATGTGTGGGGTTTTTTTGGGAACAGATAAAATATACCTAACAGTTGGAAATGTAATGCTAGAGCCTAGAAGGTTGGTGGAGGCTGAAAAAATCAGAACAGGACCTTAGCAGAGACATGAGAAGTGAAGGCATGGGTTTCACTCTTGGCTGCTGCCTCACAGGAAGGAGCTTGACCGAGTAGAGAAGCCTGAGATTACAGCCCGAGAGATGTAGTGGACATCTTTATAATTCATTCAGCTTTTATTTTTCAACTTGTGTAATATATTGACTCCCATCTAATGGGACATTTATAAAGGAGCAGTATCATGTAAGAGAAAAAACATCGAATTCAGAGTCAGAAGATCAGTATCCTTGTCATGTTCTGTGATTGTTCCAGGCAAAATCAACTAATTCATCATTTGTGCTCACCTAGATTTTATAACCCAAAGATGGTGACAGATAATAAAGTATACCTAATGTAACTAGAGGGTTCTCTACGTCATTTGTGATACAAATAACGTGTATCTATCAGTTGCTAGAGAACCATATTCCCAGGGAATAGTAAAAAGTCTGGAAGTTTAGTCATAGCCCCCCTGAAACACTTGTGTACCTGTGAGTATCTTCAGTAACTGTGTTCAGTCTGGTTTGGTCCTGACTTGGTGCGCTAAGGAGAGGTACCTGAATATAAGCTAGGCTACAGGGTGGTGGGCAAGGTTCACATTCCCTTGATCCCAGAGGCTGGATTACATCCCCCACAGACCATTTGAGTGTGCTGGAGTGATCATTTGCTTAACATCAGCATCTCTTTGAGGGCGGGTTGCCTGGTTACCAGATAAAAAGCTTTCCAGGTAAGCTGCTTACATTCCCTTGTCCAGCCCTTCTCTGGGTTCCTATGGGGCATAGAGACTGGGCAGGCTCATAGCTGGCTGCCTGTGGGACTAAAGGCTCAAACAATGATGGGGCAATGCTGCCCAGAGGCCTGGTTTGAGTTAGACTTCAGAGGCCGAAAGAGAGCACAATTAACAGCCAGAGTCAGGCTCATGTGGTTGGAGATAAAAGTGTGGCCAGTACATAAAAGCTAGAGGAGGGTCTTTTCCTGTTATCAGTGGTTTCCCAGGGGAGAGAAATTCACCCGGACAATGCTCACTTGGGAGGCTTCATTCTCTGGATTATTCCAGCACTTCCTGTAGAAATACAAAGAGCACCACACATGCAATTTAGAGTCTTCCAGTTACTACATTAATAAAATAAAAAAGAAATAGGTCAAATTAATCATAATAATGTAATTTAGTATCCCAAAACATAAAAAATATTCATTGTAACATATAACCAAGCTAACTACTTTTTAATAGGACTTTTTATGTATTTTCCTTTTTTTGTGCTATCTTTGAAATCCAGCCTGTACATCTCACTTTGACACTAAGTTTTCATCAGAACAACCTGATCCGTTAGCAGAATTCAAAAATTCTGACAGTTATGACATATATTCACATAGGTAAGTTTTTCCAAGTATAGTTAAGACAAATTATCTGTTTTAAATTTTACAGAATTACCATTAAGGTTAAAAACTGAGTTCCCAAATTGCTGTAGCTCTCAAGTGCTAAAC